CTATTGTCTTTGGCTTATGCACGTTTACATTTAATTAAAACTTCCTTAATTGATATAAATGTGACTATATTTATTATGTATGACACAGCTGTTTGCACTTTCTGGTCGCATTATAGGAGATACGATTCGTTTGCGATCTGTGTCTACCTACTATCTCGTGTTTCTTACGTACTGTTGTACATTTTCTAACTGTAATACATATAACGAACTTAGTACATTCATTAATTATAATTAACTTAATTATTTGGTATTTTTCTCATGTTAATGCTATTCTTGATGAGAAATAAATATCTTAAACCTACACTTACCTACCTACTACAATAATTATATAAATCGACTTTTCGAGTGTGGTCTGCAAGAGGGTCATTTTTTTATAGAACAGGGGGCAGGGACAGGATGCTCACATGATGTTAAGTGATACTATCGCCAATGGACACTCACGTTGCCAGAAGGCTCGCAAGTACGATGCCGGCTTTTTAAGAGTCGGTACGCTCTTTTCTTGAAGGTATCTAAGTAGAATTTCAATGAAATATGTACTTCAGTTGTTACAAATAGCGGTTGTGCTCTTATCAATTTGCATTTATGTCCGTTAAAGATTTTTTTTTTAACCTAATGCTGGAGAACAGCTGCAAGGAAGGTGCAAACATAATAATACCGTTTTGTGTCATCTTAACATTTCCAAACACACAGTAGCCCCATTATCAACATAAAAAATTAAGGAAATCGCTGTAATTATTTCCCTACTTGTTCGTGGCCCAACGATAAAGCACTTGGGAATTCGTAGAATTCCAATAAATAAAACAGTTTCAATTGCGGACTGCTGAGCCCTAACGGTAGTATATTTTGTTGTACTTATAAAATTGTAGCCGTGCCGATAGATGATATTGAAAAATATCTAAGAGCATTTTTATTCGAGATGTCAAAAATTAATTTTTAATGTGTTAAAGTAAGTTGTTATTTATACCTATCTGATTAACTTTACAGTTTCAAATGTAAATTTTATTTTAACACGACAGAAGTGATTAAGACACACAGATAATATCTAAACCCCAGGGTGGTAGATTGCGATAATTGCGATGTGAAATCGCTTCCCATGATATGGGGTAGTAATAATTTTTCAACTGCGGCCAATTTTTGATGTACATAATAATTATTATTTCGCTGGGATGTAAAGTTTCCCTCCTAACACTCTTTGAACACTAACCACGGAGGTATGTCTTCATTTTACGCCATGACTCATTCATAATAATTATTTTCAAAGTGGAAGAAATATGAAGTACCATTAATCTTACGTGAGCTGGAACGAGAAAAAGCTCTATTGGATTATATGCATGACGTAGGCAAAACTTTATTTCACCTTTACAGAGGACAATGTTACTAATAATATTGTCGTTCAATGAAAAAGATACCTTAAGTAATACATATAAAGATGATATTTCAAGTAATATTCAACCGGGCCTAAATGACAGTCGTACCGCGCCTTGCCTTGTTCTCTCAGCATTTTTATTTTGTATATCATATAAACATATAAGAAATTATTGTTCATAAATAACTCTTACTATGTTATAGTTTTATGAATGGTTATGTTTACTACTTACAAAATGCGGTAACTAAAAAAAATTAAGACGTTTTAAAAATAAAGTGGCTATTTTTTGACGAGCAGTGTTGGCCTAGTGCGACTCTCATACCTGAGGTTGTAGGTTCGATCCCCGGCTGTGCACCAATGGACTTTCTTTCTATGTGCGCATTTAACATTTGCTCGATCGGTGAAGGAAAACATCGTGATTCGTGAGGAAACCGACATGTCTTAGACCCAAAAAGTCGACGGCGTGTGTCAGGCACTTGAGGCTGATCACCTACTTGCCTATTAGATTTAAAAAAAAAACATGAAACAGATTCAGAAATCTGAGGCCAAGATCTAAAGAGGTTTTAGAGCCACTGATTTTTTAATTTTTAAATCAGCTTAAGAAATTTCCTAAAAGGAAACGCCACTAGATGCTAAAATAAAAGCTCAAGCGAGCTTTATTATAACTGTAATTATATAAGTCATTTTTCATATGTACCCATTTATGTAATAAGGTGTTTGATAATATCATACCCTAGAACAAATTAATTTCTTTGAACTGGAACATATAATTAAAATTATTTCTGTTTGCTGTATTGCTGAGGCGCCCTCGTTTCGTTATATATAATGAAAATGGAGAATCTTTGTAGGTGGGTAATTGATGTATATATGTAAAGGAAGGTTGTGTACATAATGGAGGCTGCGTTTGTTTTAGTTGTTTGTTGTAGTGTCTGGTTCTGTGGCTTCGAACCCGAAGCAATTATGGTTTCAACCAGTCTAAACTCGGGGGATATACACGTTAGACGTTACCAACGAAAAATAATAATTAATGTTCCTAATTGTATGTCTTTATTTATAAAAAAATTAAGATTTCATAATGTTTCTTTGTACTCCTAATTATTATACAATATACTACAAAGCCAATTCTTAATATTAAATGCAAAAAGGCAAAAATAGTTGGTAAATACGTATACTACAACTAATTTAGGCTTTTAGTACCTATATCTATTGGATTACATATTTGTGATTATATACTTAAATGCAATAAAATCTTAAAAACGTACTATATAAAAGGGCGTTCATTTCATGAATAATTCAAATGGAAGCTTAGAAGAATGCTTAAGTTCAAATATCACTTGTGTTTAAATGGACCACAGTGAATAGCAAATGTTACATTACTCCAGGGCAAAGGAATTCCTTTGTGTTTTAAAACTCGTGAACTCTGACCGAAGTGAGTTCCTCGGTTGCCAGTTCATTTGAAATTCAGTACATTATATCATATGTAAAATGTAAAATAGGTTAACAATGTAACAACTACTGTTTTACATTGTGGTCGATACTAGATCATTTGTTGAGCGCATATTGCAATTAAGAGCCTTTTGTAAACCAAATATATTTAATGCAATATCTTAATATATATAAATTACGTGTCACGTTGTTTGTCCGCTATGGACTCCTAAACTACCAAACCAATATCAATCAAATTTGCACACCGTGTGTATTTTGATCCAACTTAAAAGATAGGATAGCTTACATCTCAATTTATACCTGCAATATCATTTTATTGCAAAATATTTGTTTATTATTTAATAGTCACAATTCTAACAGATGGCGCTGTGTTGAAAGTACCTACGTTTCACATAAGCTACAATTTAATGGCATAACCACCAAAAAAGCATGGTGGTCCCCATGACTAGTGTTCTCCTACCGTTTCCCTTGAAGAGTTTGCTACTATGTAATATAACAAAAACATTAGCCAATAATAATTATTTATTAAAATATAACAAAAACATTAGCCACAGCAACGCTTGGCCGGTCTGCTAGTATAATATAATTATCAAACCTAATATCTAATGCCACTACATAACATTCTTATGCTTAAAGGATGCTGAGATTAAATTTCAAAGGTGCGTGCATCTGTTCCGATTACCTGCAGCTGAGTTTCATCATCGGTCGTTGAGGCAGAATACGAAATTTCACCCGTATCACCTCGACGTTCGTCGTTCCACAACCGAGCGCTTTATAAGGCACTTTTTGCCGCCACTATGTGGAACCTGCCCACTAAAGCATTTCCGAACCAATTCGACTTAAGGTCATTCAAGATAAGAGTGTACCAATTCTGGTAGTGTGAGTGTCTATAGGTGGCGGTATCACTTAACATCCGATAACCGTTAAAAAACATTAAAGCCTCCTGACTGCGCAGTGTGCGACGGTTAACACTTTATTCCATTGCACCTGCTCGTAGCGCCACTTTCGGTAGAACTCAAAGACGTACAATAAAAGTAACGGTTACTTAAAACCTATTATAAAATTCCCCATAAGTACCTGCTTATAACACTCGTGTTACAAAAAGATAAACGTGATAAAACACAACTAATTGGAGCTCAACGAATAAGTATCGCAAGACAGCGAGGAAATGCTGCCAGCGTTAAAGGTACACTGCCACAGGGACCAAACTTTTTAATTTGATTTGATTTTCTTTTTAATAAAATATTGGAGCTACGTTTATAAATATACTATTTAATTTGAATATTTCTATTCGAGTTTCTCCCGTTGACATTAAACTTTCAAACGTATGGGTATATCGTAAAGATGAGATTACACTGTTCTTGTAATAAAAGCTGGAAGTAAAACATTGTAGGCGCTTGAGTGCCTGTTTTATTACGCCACTTTAATACGTCCCTCATTTAATTTCACTGATTACATCTAACAAAGTTGTATGAAAATGGAGTGGGGAATAGCTTACCCTCAGATTCAGAGTTGAGACTTAGTACGACTTCCGTTTCTCAAATACCTATTGGACATACAGAAGTCATATTTAGCGCTGGGTTTCGTCTTTAAATATCACTCTAAGTGTACGCATCAAAAGTTAGCAATGAAACTTTATAGAGATTAAATGGATCGCTAAGGGATGATAGTTTACGAAAACCTTTCTTATTTGAGAAATTTGAGAGAGTTATTTTAACAAATAAATTGACATTGGGTCGGGTTATAACTTATAATGTAACCTACTTAATACAAAGATCAAATGTTTTTATATATTCTATGTTGTATATTATATTCTGTCCCTACAGTAAAAAAAATATTTCGTTTTAATTTATTTCTTTTTATAATTGTTACAACATTATAAGTATTGTATGAATATTAGTGAATAAACTCACAAATAATATTAAATCACTAAATATTTAAATTAAAGTCAATAAAATAGCAGTTAAAATAATCACACCTTAATCGGCCAATTCGTACTTAAAACATTTTATAAGTACTTTTATATTATCTGTGTGCCCGGTTATCATATAGTTATTTATTAGGCTCTTGGGTCCTAAAAATCATTTCTTATTATAAACTCATTTTTCTAATAAAAGTTCCAAATTTTAATTCCATTTTAAGTTTTATAATTTTTTCGAGCAACCCAGTGATGATTTTCTTTCTTCAGCACTGCCCAGAAGCGGCTCTAGTATCAGCGAGGGTGCTGTCTGCGGAGGGTGCTCCAGCGACCCGTTCTGCCTCCGGCGTCGAACGACGACCATCAGCCCCGCGTCCACCATTACACAAGCGAGGATCGGGCTCTTTACTTGGCTCACAGCCACCACCTACGTATAGGTAAGAGGAATTTCTAGAAATTAAAAGTTTACAAAAAGAATGTAAACTCAAATAAAAATATACTCAAATATTTTTCCCAAACAGTTGAAATACAAATGTTTTATTCACAATTGATTAGCCAGTATTACAGTTGGCGTAGAACATAAAACCGAACAAATGCTTAGTAATAGAGAAAATTCATCCTTCCGAAAAATTGATTGGTTAAATTAAATTAGCATTGAGCCTGCGAAGAAAATTCCATTGCCTCCACGCCACGCCGAGGATGACAAATTATGCGACTAATGAAAATAAATTTAATATTGCTCTCCAGTAAATCTTGGATATGACGTAATCGTTCTACTATATTTAAATGTAAAGCTCAGGTAAACCCCCTTATTTATACACGTAGTACTAGCTTTAAAAAAGCTTGTGTAACTTTTTAAAAAGTGGAGGCAGAACATTGTTTAACTAATACAAGCTTCCGTAGTACTAGCTAGCTATCTACTCAACTCTTGTAAGTATATTTATGAAGAGAGGGATAAGTGTAGATCACACAATTTCACTAAGCTGACTAATGTTTAGGATAATTATAATCGATCTTCGATATTCTATATTATTTATTTTTAAAAATACACACTCTAGAACCAACTAGAATAAATTTGTGACCTCGATAATAGGTGCGGACGGCGTGCACAAACAATGCTTACGACATAATTATTAATTTACATAAATTAAGAAAGACGAAAAGAGAGCATAAATAACAAAATAATATAACGAAAAGACAAAAGACTATCTATATTCTAGATTATTTTTAATTAAAAAAAAGACACAGACTAGTCAAGTGCCAAGATACCCTTCCTATAATCAAACAAAGTTTATTTATATGTCTATATAATCTATATAAAATTGATATTTGTTGACAAATTTAGCAAAATTTTATGCTAAATTTATTTAGCTACTTTCCGTATCACCTTGATTATTTTTCCGACCCAAATATCGACCAATAGAATTGCACCATTCGACGTCACGTGGTACAACCTACATGGTATTATACTGATAATTTTTTGAAAATTTTCTCTGGTAGTTGCTATATATAAAAAACAAAACATGATCCAGTCAAATTAACCACACGTCAAACTGACAGGTTGAATTCAATTGTGAAAATTGGAGATTTTGCATGAAAATGAGTCGATTTGGAGTTTGTTCTCTGTCCACCATCGATAAAAAAGTCAAAGGAAATGTTCCAATTAATACGGAGAAGTCAAAAAAAACAGTTTGGAACCAATTTACTACTTTTTGTACTGAGAGGGAATACACATTGAGTGCTGAAACGAGTGAAGCGCAATTGGCAAACATTATGAAAGATTACGCTTACAATATGAAGAAAATGGATGGAGAAGACTATAAGGAAGGTACAATAAAAACAATGTGGAATCAGACTGCCAAATTACTTCAAGAAAAGTATTAAGTAGTTGTTTTATTCATTATGAAATTCTTATTTGTTAACTGTACATTTCGTCTCATGATGCAATTCTATTGGCCGACATTTGGGTCGGAAAAATAATCCCCCGAATACCACACGAGCTTCAAAATTATCAGTATTCAGTATTATAAGTGATAATTTTTTACCGAACTTCTGAAATAACTCCATAGGTTCTAAAGCTTAGTAGTATACGAATTAATTATTTTTTATGCCGTAATCCCACTTTCAAAGTAAACACTTAATGTTCTGGTTTAAAAGCAAACAAGAAAGCAGAGATAAGATACTTTATACGCCATTAACTTTAACTTTTTATATCAACACGAATCGGTATGGCGTAGTAAAGAAAATCTTAGATAAACGTGTTCAGTAATAGTGTTCCTTTGTGTAACTTTTATCTATTCAACCTTTGATAATGGCCTACGCGGACAATACACCACAACGTTTAATAACAAAGGTTTTATATATAAAATAAAATAAAAAATAAAATATGTTTATTATGGAACATAAGATACATGTATCACTTATTCCACGTCATTAAATTTGAAGGCATCCCTACTCATCGGCAAAGAAGACAGAGGGTGTAGGCCGAGAGAAAAAGCCGGCGTAAAAAACTCTCGGTACTCTTTTAAAACAGCAAATCATCAAACAACACTTATTTAAAACAAATATCGCAAATTAATTAGAAGTAGCTTGTCTAGCACTAGTCCCAGGCCCTTTTATCAACTAGATAATCGTTGACTTTATAGTAAGCCTTTTTACACAGCTTTTCTTTAATACATTTCTTAAATTTATTGAAAGGCAGTGATAAAAGAGCCTCTGGGATTTTATTAAAGAAGAGTATCCCTTTCCCCAAAAAAGAATTACTAACTTTAGATAGTCTAGTACGGGGAAATTGCAGCCTGCGTTTGTTCCGTGTATTAACATTGTGCGTATGTATATAAGAAAGCAGTGCTGTTATTGGCAAGACTTAATAACTTTATAAAATAATTTTCACGTGCATTTAATTAAGGTGCTAAAATGTTTATTTTGGCGAACCTAATAACCAGATATAAACGCAAACTAATAAGTTATAAGGGAGCGTCCAAGTATTACGTCACGCAATTTTTGGAGATTATAATAGACTTCCATGTGTCAAAAATGTAATGAATTTTATCATATTGCAGCCATAGTGTAAATTTACTTTGAACCTTAGACTGAAACCATTACAACCCATGTTGCAAGTGTAAGGCAACTTTTAACTTGTTGTAAAGCTCGTTAGGGGACTGAAAGCTTTTCAATGTTGTGTAAAAGTTGCAGCTTGTATTTCATGTAAAATCGATAAAAACCAATACAAGTTTCCTGACCGTCACTACACTACAAAACAAGTTAATGTTCTGAGTTTTCAGGGCTTACATTATAATTAATGTTCATGATATACATATTTTGTATTGAGCAAACGGACAAGAAACTCGCCTCAGAAGTGACATTTTCTCTTTTTATATTTTTTCCAATGACCTTAAGGTATTTGATATAGTTAGCGCGACAAAAAATTCCGTAACAAGGGCTCAGTTGTAGAACGTGGTCGATGGACGTCGAGGTGATATGGGTACAATATTCTTTTCTACCTAGATGCTCGCTAAGTTGTCAATAAAAACAATCTTATAATAAATGGCTTCCTTTAAGCCTCAAAGCCTATTGATCTATTTTGAAATGATTTTGACAAAACCAGAATTGAATTTCCACCTGTAGCACCTCGACATCCGTCGTTCCATAACTGAGCGTTTTTAAGGCAATTTTTGTCGCGCACCACTACTATGTGGAACCAGCTGCACTTTGAAGTAAATCCGAAACAATTCGACTGAGGGTCATTCAAGAAAGATCATACCAATTCTTAAAAGGCCGGCAACGCACTCGCGAGCTCTCTGGCATTAAGAGTGTCCATGGGCGGCAGTATCACTTAACATCAAGTGAGCCTTCTGCCCGTTTGACCCCTGTTATATATACAGGATGGCCAAAAAGTCGTGGATCAAACATAACTAGGGGTTAGATGGGGTCATCAGCTCCAAAAAATTGTTCTAAGGGAGGTCCTTCAGCTGAACCCCTGCAGAGTTATAATTTATTTTGCGTTTTTATAAGAAAGTTGAGTTTTTTTACTAATTCTTATTAAAATTTGAAAACATCTACTTCCTGTATCTTTTTCATAATATCCACTAGATTGGTACTGACGAGTCCTTGCGTTAGACCTGCTATTTATGTTTGTTTATTGGGTGTATTGAAGATAATATTGAGTTATACGATATAAAATTTTCCCAAATCATAACTTTTTGTTTACTTCGGACCGCACGTGAAAAAAAAAATACTCTACCGAAAAGTGACCCTGTTTTACAAGTTTTGGCGCATTTAATAGGGATTCTGAAAAGATATTACAAATGGCTAGTATAAAAAAAATTGGTAAGATCCTCCGATGACAATTCGATTAATTACCACATCCCACAGAAAGGTATTGAATTACTTAGATGCCCTCTGAGTCTAAATTAACATTTCCTTTTACTTCTAATCCTAATTTATAGAAGGTGTCAAGATGTTATTAAGATAAAAGGCGTTTCGAGTATCGGACAGTTTCGCTTTTCTTTTACATTTACGTTTTTTTTTTAAATTAAAGTCTGGTGTATTAGTGTGATGATACTATAAACCCAAAGTATACCTGTTGAAAGTTTTATAAATATACCGAAATCAAAATCACAGTGTACACTTAAGCTTAGGTTTCCTAGAAAAGCGGTGCTGTTAACTAACGGCCGTCATTTTACGGATGTTAATAACGACCGTCTTTACTTTTTAACATCATGCAAAAAACAATCATTTTCGCTCAGCATTTCCGTTTCACGTTTCCACTCATTGTATTTATTACTAATATTTATCACCGCTATGACGGCCGTCATGCAAATGACAGCACCACTATTTGACGTTACGGTGACACTTAACGTTCTCTAGAAAACCTACTCCTATGTTATTTATAGACATAGTATGGGTGACGTCACCCAACATTGCATTACGGCCGTTAGATAACGGCACCGCTTTTCTAGGAAACCTAAGCTTTATGAACGTCAAAAAAGAAATATATATTAAATGCTTCTAATTTTACATTTACTGCCAGTTCTCAAATTTTTGCCATTTGAGTTCGGCATATTTTCCCAAAATTTAGGCTGAAGAAATTTGTTACAATAAATACATACCTAAACTTGGTTATGCAAATATGTTACCTTGCCAAAGTTAGGTTCTTTATTTTTTATATAAGAATTACTCAAATAATATTTACTACTTTATCGATTATTATTTAAGAATTTACGAAACTGATTACTTAAGTATTTTTTTTTATTTTTATTATTTTTAATTATAACTACTAATACTCTGTAAAAAACTAACTAGCAACATTCCGCAAAGACAGCAAAAATTGTTTAATAGATATTTATACATATTTTAGAATGAAATCACACTTTTTTTTGTTTATAGCCACTCGTAAGTCGAAAATGAACAATAGGAATTACATTTTATTGGATTTTTATTCGACTGAGAGAATGTCACTGAATCCGAATGCTTTCAGGGTTTTATTGATCCTTATTGTGCCTTTACAACATTAACTTGTCGATCAGGACAATAGAAATAGAGTTGAGATAAATAATATTTTATTAAATAACAATATTATTAATTTTTGTATGACATCTAACATCAGCTAATTTAGTAAAAAAAAGTCTTCATTTACGTAACTCTGAACTATTGTTCCGCTTTTGTTTGGTTAAAACATCTAACCATAATGCTTTATACATAGTGTATGTACAGTGATTTATTATATAATATATTAATATAATTAGAATATGTGTTCAGTAAATGTAGGAAGAATGAACCTGTCTGGACATTTATGTTTAATATTTAAACCTTTTGATATAAAAGACGTAAATATTTTATTTCACCACAACAAGGACTTTTCCTATATGGAAGGAAAAAGTGGTCCCACGTAATTCCGCGGTCACGGAGCGGAAGTTGCCGCGAAGGTAGGCTATTAGGATTAAAAATTAAAAAAATCAGTGGCGCTACAACCTCTTTAAGTCTTGGCCTCAGATTTCTGAATCTGTTTCATGATTATTATTAGGATCAATGATGTATTAATTTTCCTGATATTATAATCTTTAAATCAGGTTCCATAAGCCTTACATTGCTTAGATTATTTTTTTTCCGCAGATATCTTTGGATTCGTATCGCCCTATTTGAGCGTCAATTGGCGAAGATTATAGAGCATCTTGTGAATAATGCTACAAGATATTATGAAAGGGACGCTTTAGTTGCCGATCCTGACTATGGGAGTATTTTAAGCTCACTCCTCGTTGGACCATGCGCTTTAGAATATTCTAAGGCTAAAGCGCCAGTTTGCTTTTGGACAGACCCACCCGCTGATGAATTGGTATGTACAAAGTCTAACATTATAATATGTTACATAATAAAACAGGCAGACACTAAGCAAATCTACTCCCCTTTGTGTGTGTTATAAGAAAAGTTTGTTCTGAGCTTGGCGGAACATAAGTTCTAATTAATTCATTAATATACATATATATGTACATTGTACATGGATAAGTGTAGCTTAGCCACACTATCTTAGGTAATAGATATAAACTTTACCTGGTTAACAGCCTCTTGCGGATAGAATAAATATCTAATATCTAAAACCTACATAATATCTAATATTATGTAGATTTGATATTTCTATCTCGAAAACCTGTAACATATAAATTTAACGCAATAGGTTACATTATCAGTGAAGATTAGTTGATATAGGAATATATTATAATCCGAAAATGAGAAACTTGTTTTGGGTTAATCCCTGGAGATATTAACATTATAAATGCGAAGATTTCTAAGGCTTTTGCGCTGTATTATGAATACATAAACCGGGGAAAAACATGCACGAAGATTAATGTAGTGTGTGGATTATGGTTTAATAAGTAATTGAATACCTTATGCCTAGCTAGTATGTTTTGATACTAGTAAACGGAATACATTTAATTATCCGTAATATTTGTTATGACTTCCATGGGAGTCTTGTGTGTGTATTAATGTTTAGTTTCTCGACGGAAAATCTCGAAGGAAAACTCTAGACCTTCGATGATAGGCTTATACGTATAGTTTTCAGTAAGGCTGTCAATTAAGCCGTGGGGTCGATTGATAACTCGAGACAATCTTTTTAATGATTGAAAAACAAAAACCCTCACCGTTGTTTTTATAATATGATTATATATTATGTTCTTTTAAAAGTTATCATATTTATAGAAGTTGATAAAAGAACACACTTACATTTTAAGTAATTGAAAAGCTCAATAAAGTATCCAAGTGTACGTTATTGAAAGTAATTTGTTCATAAATAGGGCTATAAAACTTCAAATCCCTGAAGCTTAGAATATTGTTTGAAACATCAATAATGATTTAACTGTCTTAGGAATGAAAGCTGTTTAATTAATTATAAATTGTTTATACTTTACATTGTTTATTTATTTATTAACACTTCGTTGCATTAACATAATTAAATGAAAAGGGCAACTGGCGGCCTTATCGCTTTCGAGCGATATCTTCCAGGCAACCACTGTGAATTTTTTTTATGAAAAAAGTAATCTTACTATCTTATTTTCTTTATTAATTGCATTTGTCATGGGTTTTTATCACCGAGTTGTGAAGGCTTATGTTGGAATGCAGTGCTTATTAAATTAATACGCAATACCTATTAGACTATGACCTGACGAGAAAACTAATTATAGTCACTTTTTCAGTTTTATTTGTTTTCATAAATCTTAATCATTAATAAACTATTCAGCTGTTTGCATATTTTAACTCACGCCAGGTACAAAGACACCGTATGTCTGCTGGGACAACCACGCCTCCTTCTGTGAGAAGACCTATTCTTAACTTTAGGAGGAGTCTCAACGCTTCGTCCGATGACAATGCGTCAGTAAATGGCGGTCAGTAGTTTGAGGTTTATTTTTAATCTTTGTTTTTAATTTATTTTATTATTATTTATTACTAAGGATGTCATGTGAAACATGGTGTAATGGCTGCAGCTCCTTACAAACGTTGTGTAAAACAAAAAACTAGACGATTAAAAAGAGTGACGGAGAGTTTATTGCAAGTTCTTCTCTTCCGTTCTACGCCCCTGATTTGAGAACTGGCAGTAAATGTAAACTTCTTTTTGACGTTCATAAGTGTACAATGTGTTACCTACATGAATGAATGATTTTTGACTTTTGTTTTTTTTCTGTCTCAGGACACATAGGTACAATTTTTGTCTTTAAATTATTTTCTTAATATATTACGTTGTTTCAAACATCGTTATAGGAGGCTATTCAAAATTCAAATATGTAAGATAATTGAATATACGTTCTTAGATATTTCAATTGTAATGAGTGTTTCTAAATACAATATAAGTGATATCTTTTAGGTTCAGGAAATTCTACCGCATCTAGTGCCAAAGATTATGTAGAAAGTTTACATCAGAATTCGCGTGCAACATTATTGTATGGAAAAAATAATGTTCGGGTGCAACCGGTGAGTAATGTTTCTTATTGTAAAAGATAATTATAATACGCGTTTATAGAATAATAGTACGCTTTTTGTAAAAAAAAGCAGTTCTTAACTGAATCTTGGTAAATTTTATTATTGCAAAACTTAATAAAAATTAAGATTAGAACGAAAAAAATTACGTAAATAAATAAATCAATAATTTGCAAAGAAATATAGAGTAACATTCCGATTGATTATTCACAATAAAACCGTACTATCCATATTATAATAGGCATGAAAATGTCATTAATATTCATAATAATAAAAACAGTTAAGATATACTCGTAGTTAATTGTCGTCAAACCTTATGTATCTATAAACTCTTATGATAAAGGCACCTTTAAAATCTAATTACATTCCCCTTGAAAGCATTACACGGCAGTGATCTGTAACTTCTGGGAAGGCGATTAAATAGTTTGATAGCCAAGGCCTAACCTGTTTTCAAATACATCGTGGTGCTGGCACCCACAGACGTGTTCGATACTTTGGTAGAAGCATACATTAGACATAAGCTTATAAACATTCTTTGTTTAAACTTAAATTGAAAATCTTAGAATGTCTACACAATGAAAAGCTTTTAAGAAAACCCATTCATGTTAAAAGTTTTAAAACATACAGCAAGTGTTTGGCAGTATTTCAGTTTTAAATGTGCTATTTGATATCGGTGTTTTAGAAAGACGTAGAGGAGGCTATGCCAGGATATTTAAGCCTGCATCAATCAGCTGCTGGTTTAATGATTAAATGGACGCCCAATCAACTCATGAATGGTTATGCTGAAAGCGAAGGGATTGATAAAAGGTATTCGATTTAGTAAATAATGTTTTATAGTGTAATAGTTAGTTTTTTAACATCTAATAGAATATGCAATGATTTTTTGTTTAAACTGTATTCTTTCACACCTTATGCTGCCTTGTATATCAAGCGAAATTGATGCATAAAAATATTTTATAATTTAATTGACTTAAATTTATGCCTTTATTTATGTTCTATGTAGTACACTGTTCGTATTCGTTTTATATACCCGGCTCGAAGGACCATTTTTCTGTAGCTTGTAGTTGTGTGTGTAGCATTCGTTGTCACCTAGTGCATGTGTCAGCGTGTCAAAACAAGTGTATTCTGTGCAGTGCTGCCCCCTGTACTGTTTACAGGCGTCTATGTTCTGGACCGCTTTGCTTTGATTGGTATGATTTTGTTTTTTTAATTTTTGCTTACTATCTCCCCTTAGTGTTATAACTAGCTATTAATATTTTTAAGAAATCGGTGTTGGTCTAGTGCCTTCAACATGGGACTCTCATCCATGAAATCGCAGGTTCGATCCCAGGCTGTTGACTATCTCTGATGGCCTCTGTCTATGTTCGCATGCATGCATGCTTACACTCGTTCGTATTATGAAGGAAATCATCGTGAGGAATCATGTTTCAAATCCAAATATCGAACACATGGGCCAGACAGAAGGCTGAACTTGGTGATCAGGTGTATCGTAAATATGATCAAAGTAACGCAATCTGAGGCCGTAACTCGTTTAGGGTTGCCACTGGATGATTATTATTTAGTTATTTATTAAAGTACAACATCATATATTTGCTATAGTATAAGTTACAATCTATCTATTCTAAAATATAGTGCAATCATGCTGAACATAAAATTACAAAAAGTTTTAATAATATTATACTTCCAAAATAGAGAAGAAAAAGATATATTACATATACTTATCCACCTTATCCGGATTAGTACCCAATAAGTGCTTAACGACGCCCTTTGTTAAATTGATAGTTATATCATTTTAATTTGAAAGCTGAATGTATATTCATACATATATGTATATTCATATTTTTATACGTATAAAATACGTTACATTTATAGAACAGCATATAACATAATACATAAAAATTATAAGGAATGCAACGGGCGGACTTATCGCTAACAAGCGATCTCTTCCAGGAAACCCTAGTAAGCCAAATACAAAATAAATATGATGGGTAAAGTGCGATAAGCGCATAACCAAATCTTATAAAAATCAACCGTAATCTAAAATAATACAAAAAAGTAATAAAATAAACTAAAACTAAGAAGACTACATTTCATATAAATCTTCCAACATCACTAATTCATAATAAAAAGCATAAATTTATCTTTCAGTATTTACTGGGCAATGTCGTTACAAGTGTGTGTGTGGGAAGTTGTATACGTCCACGTACATCGTTCACAAGCAAGTGACGCTCTAATTCTAGTTGGGCAAGACGGTGTCCAACGTCCCCCAATACACTTCCCAAAAGGTGAGTAATAGTAATTAACTTTTATGTTTTCATTTTACTTGGAGTGTTTCTACGTCAAACCACTTTACCACAGACATACTAATATATAGACTAGACTATAGGGTATCCCAGGATGGGCTATCCGACATGTTGCTTGATCGGAACAGATCGCAGCTGGAAAAATTCTGCTGCAAGATTGTCAAATATGTCACCAACATAAATAGAACGAGAGGTAATGCGGGTAGCGCCATTCAGCAAGCCCCGACTCGCCCATAAATATTACAAGGATTTTTATTTTTACATTTTAGGTACAGAAACAGAAAACAGATTGTTTATATACATACAGCTATTACACACTAAACATCAATTGTAAACCTGAAGTCCTGTACACAGCATTTTAGTGGAATCTTCAGTGCTGGTTTACTTAATATTAACAATTACATACAGTATATAATATGTACATTGTACATATATTAAATTAAATGACAAAAAATAAATTTATACCGTGAATAATCTTTTTAAATTCATAAATACTATTGTGAAAAATATCAAAATGAGAACACACGAATTATAATACTTGCACATTATAGCGAGCGGACCATTCTGGGATACATTGTTACTTGTGGGTATCATAAATAGTTGTGGGTTAGGTACGCACAGAACGCGTCGGTACCTTGATGTCAAGTTTATCCAAAATATAACTGTCAAGTGAGCCATTTCCTATTTTATGTAAAGTGCACAGCCTCGCGATTCTGTAACTCACTTTTCGAACTCACACAGCGGTTTTCGCATCGGCGGTCGCTCTCAAATCAGTCGTGAAGCAGTCATTTTATGATTTGGCATTCTGAAAAGGTGGGAGCTTGTAGTTTATTGTTTATCAGGATGCCAAATCATAAAATGACTGCTTCACGACTGATTTGAGAGCGACCGCCGATGCGAAAACCGCTGTGTGAGTTCGAAAAGTGAGTTACAGAATCGCAGGGCAGGTCGCTCATCCATCTTCTCCTTTCAAGACTTACCATCTGAAAGTGGGCAATACGCTGGGCATGTTGCTTTATTTGGTACCTAAGTCCATACTTACTTACTTACTAAGCATAAAGCTCTAACAAACCGCCTTTATTTGGATATTTCCGGAGTAGCTATCGCCCGGGCCCGGCGGGAGACACCAACCCTTTAAGTTAACAAGTCCCTTTTTAGGAAAGGGGCGATTTCGACACTCCCCTGCTGCTTAGCTTCTCGGTCACACATCTGCCTAAGTGCGATTGACTGCCCCCTATGATGTAAGGGTCCCTGTTAATAAAAAAAGAAATTGGATTTAAAAAAAATAGGGATGTTTTTTTCTTGAGGGTTTCAAGTCGGGGCACACGTTACATCGTGCAGGTCATCCTTTAAGGATTAAAACCGAAGGGTGCCGTCGAAGCTGGAAATAATGTCATCATGAAATCTTATAGACCCAGATTGAAGCATGGTGATACGATTCTGGGTTTATTTCATAAATGAAGTTTCTTTGTAGGTGTTCGATTGCAACATCTCTTGGCTATATGTTACCGTCATCACCACCTTATGTGACATCTATTATTTTGATTAAATATCAATAGGTCTCTAAACATTCTGACAAACTCAGTATGAAACGTATGTATTGGTCCTGGAAGTGTACTACTTTAAACAAAAAATTATACATTGTGATATTATTTCAGGTGGTCATCTGCTTTCCTTTTTGAGCAATTTGGAGACGGGGTTACTTCCACATGGCCAATTGGATCCACCGCTTTGGTCTCAACGTGGGACAGGCAAGGTAAAATTCAGATTTTTCATAATAGGTTATAAAGTTGTATTATTTATAATTCTCTGTTGTTTAAGCCTGACCCAACTTTTGCTTTATAATTTTGATCGATTTTCGATCCTATATGAGACCTCATCGTGTTTAAATATATATTTACCTAGTTACGAAACCAATGTTCGAAGTCCTTTGAACTTTGGTTTAAGTCACGACATACGCATATCTTCTAAATGGTAAGCCAAAAGCATAATAAGAATATTTCACGAGCTACATTGAGTTATAATTTAATCATTAATCGTCAAGTCTGGAGATGGTAACCATCAGGCACTGAGGTCTAGGCACTGGAACACTTTCGATTTTTTTTCCTATCCACGTAACAACTCGGCGCATTCTAAGTTCGTTGAAGCCCACATAACCTATTATAAAAGTGGTATAACACACATTATTTTTTGTTCACAAAATTTTCTGGGTTCGGCCCGACTGCGGTTTAACGTTGATAAGGGATAACCTGTACATACTTTGGCCTATTACGATAGAAATATGTAAGGCCAAAGTATAAATAGTATGCAGTACTAAAACGTCAGTATTGAAATGTTTTTTATGTTATTTTAAGGTGTTTGGTAGAAACAAAGGCAGAAGACGTCCGATGCCGAGTCTATGTGAAAGTGGGGAAAATGAGGAATCGGAGGTTGATGAGGTTGCTGGCGATTATGTCTTTCGTATCGTCAACAACGCTATTGCAGATCGGGAAGGTATAGAAACTAAATTTATATGATAGTATAATATTTTGTCACTGTAAAATATAAGTTACCTAATTTAACAGTAACATAAAAAGCGACCGAATCTGAGATGGTCAAGAAACTCTATACACGATTAATAAGGTAATGTGTAAATAGTCTAGTCCCAAATTTTATATATAATTTTGGGAAAACATTATGTAGGCAAAAAGTTACCTACATAATTTAAGGTAATTTTTAATTTTTTACATAATTTTTCTATAAGTACCACCATGGTAGTCTCTTCGGAAACCTTGCAGTGTCGAAATTTGTATGAACTAGCTTTAAAATGTCTACAGTTATTATTAAGGGCAATTAACAATTGAACAATTTTCTAGCAATGCGCCACTCTCTACTAGAGCGTGTAATTCAATCACCTCCACGTACCCCTCGTCGGACCCTGGCCTCTACATCCACTACATCATCAGATTCCAGCACCATGTCAGTTGACTGCCCACCTATTATTGGGAATTTAACTCAAACAACCATCACACAAGTGTCTCTTGAACAGGTAAATTATTTAAAGAAATCTATAAGCTGTAACGCTGTGTAGTAAATAAATTACAATAAAAATTTTGGTTGAGGTATATTTAATAACTTTAAAGGATAGTATTCAATAATTCAACATTCAAATTAAACGTTAATTAATATAATTATCATTCTTAAATTGCACTAATACACGTGTATTATATTTCGGTCAAAACCAGGATATATGACAAAAATAAATCTACAGTATTAGAATAAGACAAGCGAAAACATATTCTATCTAATCTGTGACCGTTTGTGTCATCTGGCTGATATATAATATCTTTTTTTTATTATTATTTACAACTTAGTCCATAAAACTTTTTAAATCCCTGTTTTACACAGATTACTCTCATTATTACTTTATTTATCATACTCGTACTGTCAAATAGCATTTTAAATTCTATTTCATTTGGTTATGAGAATAAAGCTCATGAACTTAAATTTTTTAAGGGGATAGCCATTAAAAAATTAAGCATCCATAAGTAAGTGCTACTTAGCATCATTAAGCAGCGCTACTACAAATGCTGTTCATTTAATATGTGTCTAAGTAAGCATTAATACAAATAGTAATTGAAAATGCCATAAAAAGGTCTCTTCTCTCTGCGATTCCTAGGCTGCCTCCATAGAGCTTGTATGCAGCACAATGCGACGACAAATAATCTCCCGAGCATTTTATGGGTGGCTGGCGTATTGCCGGCATCTCTCCACTGTCCGGACTCATCTTAGTGGCCTTGTGCATCCAAATATTGTTCCCGGAGGTAAATATTTAATTCACTGGAATACTTATCATTGCTATTGTTATTATTATAAGAATACGAAAAGTTTTATATCCTTGTCTTTAATTTATATTAGTAAAGTTCAGAGCTCGCCCTTATGTTGGTTTGGTTAGTTACTCATAAAAGCCTTTTTTTTCTTTAATTGTTGACGGCCTAGTGGGCTTAATTGTACATAGAATATAGACACGGATAATCAGACGCAACGATGCTACTACTACGATCCCAGAGGGTATACTTTACAGCGAAGCGAATTACCTATCGAGTTTTTTACGCCGACTTTTTCTCTCGGCCTACACCCTCTGTCTTCTTTGCCGATGAGTAGGGATGTCTACTTATTCAAATTTAATGAGGTGCAATAAGTGATACCTGTATTATGTTCCATAATAAACATATTTCATTTTTTATTAATTTTTATGCAGAAAGGTGTATGCCCTATGTTTCATCACGGTTTACCAGGATTAAATAACAACAACGAGTATTATAAAAATATAGTTCGCATATATAATGTTTCTTTACAGAAAATACCGATGAAGGACTAACAGATGCAATATGGCGATCTATGATGGATGAACGAGGAGCCATCGTTGATAAGGACGAAGTGTATAGATTGGTTTACTACGGTGGAGTACAGCACGACATAAGGAAAGAAGTCTGGCCGTTTTTACTTGGATATTATGAGTAAGTGATTTAAAAAAATACTATAATCGTAATAAATACAAACGTATTCACCGATATACAGACGTTCTAGAAATTTGAGTTATTTATGTTTTCAATAATGCATTTCAAAACGAATACTCTTATACATGGTCAAGGACTTTATACTTTCAGAACCAGATCTCTTTTTTTTTAAATCGATGTCTCAAAGAAATATTACATTGATTTTTGTATGTCCGAGTTGGAGCCTATGTGTTTCTAAAATGTCTTTGCCTTTGTTTCCACCACGACCGCCAAACAAAAGAGTTACTTTGGCATTTAAAAGCATAGAGAGAAATAGAATTTAGTACAAGCAATATATTGTCTAAAATCTTTCTAGATTTAACACAACATTTCAAGAGAGGCAAGAGCAGGACTGTACGTACCGCCGTCAGTATGAGACTACGATGTCTGAATGGCTTTGCGTTGAAGCTATTGTAAAGCAAAGGGATCGGGAGGCGACGGCGGCTTCTATTGCACGGCTGTCTGAATCTTCTGGAAAGCCTAAACCTGAAGTTGAGCCTTGCGAAGTTAGTACTAATCAGCTGATAGTGTTAATGATAGCTTTAATATTGATATTTGATGGGTATTTATCGTTTTTATTGTGTATGTACAAATAACGCATTACATCGTGATGAAAACTTTTTCGGCTGAAACGTTTGTTTGTACGAGAAAATCAACTAGTATTTTAAAATTGGAATCTAATATAACTTATTTCGTTATAATTAGTTTTAGTTTTGAGTAAGCGATACTCGAAAGACAATTAAATTTATAAGTAATAAAAAAACGATGAAGCACCTAGTTTATGTAAATGTATTTTTACATTCAAATAACCTCAATGTCGTTATACTTATTTATGTTTTCTACCTGAACACAGGTCTTTGAAGACGACTGCAGTGTAATATCAGATAATCCACCAGTTGTATCACCAGAACCAAGCGAAAACGAACAGAAAAGACTTGAGGTCAAACCTGTGCTTTCTCGAGCTCCAAGCATAGACGAAGTAGATAATATAGAGTTAGATGAAGAAAAGAATGAGAACGGAGCCAAGATTAACGGAGAGACTGATACTTGTGAAGATATAACTTTCGATGATGATGACGATGATGAAGTTTGTATTAAAAGTGTTGTGGAAAATCCAGATATGAGAAGAGAGAGTATTGCAGAAATTAAAAGATTGGCAGAAGGAATCGTGCAGAAGGGAGATGGAAGAGGTTTATTATGTAGTGTTGACAGTGGAAATGCTAATCTTAATGGAAATGATAATAAGTCAATCGAAGAACCGGCACCGAGTCATGCGCATAGTGTTATTGTTACAAATCCATCTGTAGATTTGGCTGTTACCGGTGGATCTCCTGCTTCTGGAGGAACTACAGGTAGGAATTTTTGGTTGTGGTTTCTGTACGGTGTGTGTTTAGTACTGATAACTAATATTATTATGGATACCGCATATTCATCGTGTGTCATTTATAATGTGACTACTAATTTTAAATTTTTAACTAAATCTAAAATAAAATTGTGCTAAACTCAAAAACTAGAACTTCAGATAATTAATTGCTACATTTCTTATACGTATATATCCTACCTTTTAAGAAGAATTATTTAAAGGCCATTTTGTTATTCAATTCAAACAATTTGATCTTATGTTATCTTATAGTATAAAGATAACATAATGGAACGGTTTTATAGTTCATGTTCCTCATATTGTATATCTAAAACCTTAGTAACTTTAGCGCCAGCAAGCCCAGCCCGTAGTCCTTTGGGTGTTCTTCGTGAGGAGTCTCATTCAGCTGGTGCCTCCTTTGACACTCTAGATCCGGAATCTCGACCTGACAATCGCTCCAACTGTGTATCACCTGCCAGTTCTAATGGAGGCGTTTATTCGGTAAGTCTCATTTTTTCTATTAATATTAATATTTATATGATGCAAACGAGCCTGTGGAACAGCTATTAAAAGCAGCTACCGCAGCCCATGGACATCCATGATTGAGGGTGCCTTGCCGGATTTTTAGAGAGGTGTATGTTCTATGAGGACTCAGAGAAGACCTCCACTGGAAGTCGATTCCACAGCTCGCTAGTTTGCAAATAGATACCTAGAGAAATTAGGACTATTGATTGATTTTTTTTGATTGATTGATTGATCGTTGCAAAACAAAAATTAGGTTATGCAATAGTTTTGTGCGTTACGGTGCAAGTAGTAGGGAGGATGCATTATACAACGCATTTCATTACTCTCGATCGTTTACTTAGAACTGGCATTTTGTGTCCCTCCTTTCAGAAGAACGCATTTTAGCCAACAGTCACCAACTCCAAAATGAGCATGCTGATTGCTCCATTCGCACTTTGACATTATTTTTTTCATTTAGATTTATTATTTTTGAATCGATGTTTTTCCCTACATGATTGTTATAATGACAATGACATATACAGGGTGTCTTAAAAGTCGACGTCGAAATTTTCTCATAGGTAATGTGCCACACCAGTTATCAGAAAAATTAAAAAAAAAAATTAAATGTAGAAAATGTAGAAGAGCTTAGACAGAGAATAGCGGAAGCAGTAGAATTTGTGAATAATGGACGATTTGCCCGCTTCATTTCACGATCTTTTTTAAGGAGATGTCGAGCCTGTATTGCAGCTGAAGGACGGCAATTTGAACATCTTTTATAAAAAAAGTAATAAATCTAATCATAAAAAAGAAACTGTCTATTTTACTTATTTGCGTCCGTATGTCATAAGCGTCACTATCTGTCTCGCTCACATTTTATGGAATGTCTCTCTCCATCTTATTTAAACCACGCTGTGGTCATTACGAACGTTTTGGGTGCGCTAGAATCATTTGTTGTAATTTCAAAGAGATTGTTAAAAACAGACTGTTTAACAAAAAAAAAACTTATGGCCGATCTAAGAAATAATGAAGTAAGTATTATACCACGTTAGAATCCTTATTAAATGCGCGAACTTTTAAAGGTGCTTGCCAAACTGGAGTAATACATTTTTTTTTCAGGACGATCAGTTGAACTAGTGCGAAAAATTAATTTTGAAAACTTGGTACGGTATAAAATGACATTTTCCTACAAGTTGGAGTGATCAGCACAGAGTTTAGGATCATAGGTTACATAAAACACTATTCGGGATGACGTAAGAGAAAAAAATTGGCAAAAAGTAAATATTTGTAACAACAGGAATGAAAAAACTGTCACATGGTGTGCATTTTCTGGAATAACAAAAAAATATCCATAACTTCAAAAATACATGACTTTTTTTTTTTAATTTTTCTGATAACTGGTGTGGCATTACCTATGAGAAAATTTCGACTTGACGTCGACTTTTGGGACACCCTGTATACGGTGTAGCGTCTTGCGAAATATAGTAACAAAATCTTAAGAATGATAGACAATTTTGAAGTTGACCATTTAACGCCTAATTAAAATGACAGATCGCTTTATTTGTACTCTTTTGTTCTAGAATGAACTGGTAGAGAGTTTTGCATTAAACCTCCATCGAATAGAAAAGGACGTTCAGAGATGCGACCGGAACTATCCCTTCTTTACGGATGAAAACTTGGATAAATTGAGGAATATTATGTGCACGTAAGTTGTTAAAATAAATCCAGAGTCACTACACTTTATTAATATTTTTCATTGATATATTTTATGAATAGGCAATTGGTGCTAAGACCCTTACAAAAAGCTGTTAATCACTAAATTAATTTCATAATATTATTTTGCCAAACATATAATGGAACACCTGAGATTTTTCTGCCTAGTATAAGTATAGGATAGTAACTACTCAAAAATAAAAGATAATATAGTTTAAAAAAATTCTCTAATACTATTTTCAAAAAAAAAATCCCATCGAGTACACTTCTTTTTGTACGTTTTGACAAATCTCAATCAAACATTCTCGCCCCAAGAATCATTTTTTGCATAATGAGTTGCCAATTTTTAAAATTTTATTTTTGATTAAATGTATTTATAAAAAATACATTTAATCTAATCCTATTATTCCTATTTTATTAATTTAAGATACGTCTGGGAACACCTCGACATGGGCTATATGCAGGGGATGTGTGACTTAGCAGCCCCGTTGTTAGTGATAATGCGTGACGAGGCAGTTGCGCACGCGCTCTTCGCCCGACTCATGTGCAAAGCCAAAGACAACTTCCCTTCTGGACAGGCAATGGATGCCTATTTCGCTGATATGAGGTATATTTTTTGCCCCAAAAATAGGTTTAAAGTATATTTTAATAAGGCTTCAGGATTTTGAAGTCGGTTAAACAATAAGTATTAAAAGGTATCTACAAATATTCTACAACTTGGTAATACACAAAAAGTTTTCTTTAAAATGTTTTTTGAAGTCGCTTCAGAAGTAATATCTTCGACATACGCGTCATGAAACATTTCTTTAGAAAAAATGGTATATTAACGGTGATATATACATAAAGATTGGCCAAGGATTTTAAAGGTTTATAATGTCGTGTCACGTTGTTGTTGTTTGTCCGCGATGGGCTCCTAAACTACTTAACCGATTTTAAATTAAATTTTCACACCGTGTGCAGTTTGATCCAACTTACAAGATAGGATAGCTTACATCTTAATTTATAGCCGCAATATTATTTTATTGCAAATTATCTGTTGATTACTTGACAGTCACAATTCTAACAGATGGCACTGTGTTGAAAGTACCAACGTTTCACATAAGCTACTATTTAATGGCATAACCACCAAAGAAGCATGGTCGTCCCCATGACTCTTACTGTTTCTCTTGGATAGTTTACTACTAAGTAATGTAACAAAAACCTTAGCCACAGCAACGCTTGGCCGATTCTACCAGTATCTATATAAAATAAAGGTTTATTTCAAATCGTATAGTATTATGTATATATACATACGAAATTGATTTTGTGCTATAATTGTTTAATACTACAATCGTATATTTGTCAGGATTTTAAAACCATTTCAGATTCTTTATTAGTATGTTTAAAAACTAAACATATATTCAATTCTATTTAGTATAGTAGTAGGCTTTTTAAAATTCAAATTAAATATTCATAATTTCAAGAATCCGCCACAACGACTCTAGGCAAGATGGCGTCGCACCATTCACTATGACGTACCATGCCAGTAAATACATATAAACAAACTTCACCTTTTTACGTTAATTGTCATCCTAAAACACAACACAACAATATACATTAATTAAATATAAATTTGATAAAATAATGTTTATTTCCAAGTCATTTTGCTCCATATCTAATATATAAAATTCTCGTGTCACAGTTTTCGTTGCCATACTCCTCCAAAACGGCTCGACCGATTCTCATGAAATTGTGTGTGCATATTGGGTATGTCTGAGAATCGGACAACATCTATTTTTCATCCCCCTAAATGTTAAGGGTAGTCCACCCCTAAATATATATTTTTTTATTTTTAGATATATTTTTCTGTTTTTATTTTTTTATGATACAGCATTAAAAAATACATACAAACCCCTAACTTTCACCCCTCTACGATCAACCCCTATTTTTTTATTATAAATGATATATATGGCAAAACGACGTTTGCCCGGTCAGCTAGTAACTGTATAATATTATACATATAGCCTATTATTCAAGCTGCTCCTTCCAGGTCTCTGATCCAAATACTAGATTGTGAGTTGTATGAATTGATGCACGCACATGGAGACTACACACACTTCTACTTCTGCTACCGCTGGTTTTTACTTGACTTCAAGCGGGAACTTCTGTATCAGGATGTAAGTTAATTTGAATAAACTTAGCACAATATATTTAACTTTTCCATTTACTTTTATACGTTTTTTTTTGTATTAAATTGTCGATGAAGAGTCGAGACTTACTAGTATAACTCCCGTATGACAAAAACGTATTGGATTTAGATAAAAAATAATAAATTTAACGACTGGTTGTGTCATCTATCTCTTAGTAAACAAAAAAAAAAGTTAAAAGGCTACTATATTTTATTTATAATCGGGTTTCATTTTAAGCTTACCTTAACCTTTCGATTTTCAGGTATTCTCAGCGTGGGAGCTAATATGGGTAGCGCGTTATGTGGCGTCAGAGCACATGGTTCTTTTCATAGCTCTGGCATTATTAGAAACCTATCGAGATGTAATACTCGCAAACTCTATGGATTTTACAGATATCATCAAGTTTTTCAACGGTAAGTCAAAAACCTTGTGTAATTCATGGTAAAAACAAGTCCTCTTATATCTTCTTCTATTAGCTGAATAAATAGGTTGTCCGACTGAAAATCTGAATGGTTTTAGTTTTAATAGTAATTTCATAGTAAATTCATCCTTTAAGACATGAAAACGATAAAAAATTGTTGCATTTAAAAGATTAATTGGGTTGATTTAAATTCATTAAGAAATTTATAAAAGAAAATTATTACTTAGAATGCAGTTACTATCAGATTTACGAGAATGTATCAGCTTTTAATTAACTGACATTTCTAAATCATCTATTGACATTTTAACTTTCTAACTTAATTTCCGGTTTTCGTTATGACTAAAAAGGTCATATAAAAATTTGTGTTACTCTTCCCTGGCTTCCTTTGGACCCAAATAAAAGTATAATCACCCACAAACAAGAGTTAATACGAATTTATTTTCAGAAATGGCCGAACGCCACGACGCGTCAGCAGTCTTATCGTTAGCTAGGGACTTAGTCCTTCAAGTTCAAACGCTTATAGAGAATAAATAAAATAGTAATAATGTCAAAATGTCTTTATAGCAGATATATTACTTGTATTGTACAATGATAATGCTATAATTGTGTGTATAAGTCAAGTGACTAAAGCCTACAACAGTGATTATTTAAATTTTATTTAAAGACTTTTTTATGTGACCATTTTCTCAATAGTTTGAAATGTAACACTAATTTGGTCTACTGAGACCTGGGAGACGAAGGCCTGATCTAACTCTCTCCGATTCCCATACCATGCAACTCTAGTCCACACAGCCCCCGCCGTGATTTGCAGATGATCCCTCCATCGCCTGATCTATCTACCTCATTTTTCCCATCTCGGGACTGCCATTCAGTAGTGGACTTGCTCTTGTCACGTGCCCCGGCCATCGCCATTTTAGCCGTTTTATTTTCTGTAACACATCGTCAACATTTGTATTCGTTCTGACTTTGTTTGCCCTTACGCGATCTTCTAGAATGACCCAACATGACCACGTTCTTTACTTTTCTCTTTGGCATGGCACCTTTGAAAGTTATTGAATAATTATAAATCTTTATTAATTTAGCTTCATTTTTAAACACCGTAATTAAGAGAAAGTTTAGTTGTAATCTTAAAATATATTTATAATTAATGAAAAATAACAACGATAAAAAATATACGATTCCATACACATCGCAAGTAGTTCACCATATAAATATTATATTCATAAAGTAGGTAACTCTTTCATTAATGTAAGATTGATAAAATATTTGACTTACCATATCTGTTTCACAAAATAAATCAGTGTAATTAGAAAATTCAGTGCCATTGGACATAATCGATTTGGGCAGCACAAATGTGAGGTTTCTCACGAAGTGTGATACTGATACATATTGGCCTCTTTATTTATTATATTAGGTAATAGACCCAAAACGAACTTACAAGAATCATGGCATTTTAAACAGATGTTAGAAATATGTATTCTAAAGCATGTACCACAGAAAAAATATATGAAATATTAATAATTATATATAAACATAAAGCTTTGTGCAAACAAAACACAACACAGAAAAAAATACAAGCAAAACCATTTTAAATAAATTCAAGAATTTACAGTTAAAAAGGGGAATCAAAGTTAAATAAATAACAGAAAGATAATTTCCATAGATTGCATATAAGTCAGGAAAAAAGGTTTACTAAAAAGGCCTGTATAAAAATTATTCTATATTGTTAATTCAAGTATGGTTATTTTCGCGTAAATGTATACGGCTCGCAACTAAAAATATCAGATTAGAAGAATCAACTTGATTTATGACAGGTCTAAGCCACTTGACTTAAAAAATGGGTCAATAAGCAGTAAAACTTTTAGAAACACATTCTGTGGTAACAATATGGATGTTTTAATAGAAATTAATTTACATATAAAGTCCATTCGACATCGGTCAATACAAATGGGTTTTTGAAAGTATTATTGCTCGACCCTAATGTACTAGTTATAGAGAAATGTATTGAATTTTAATATCAATTTGTATTAGAGCGTATATTGGTGTTTTCTATATGGTAATATACCACAGATGTTTATAAATGGATTCATAGTAAAATTAACTTATCGTTCTAAGAACAAAATATCAAATCTTATTTTACGTTTACGAAATATAAGTTGCTTTGTCGCATTTCGAAATATCAATCATTAATCTTTTAAATAAATAACAAATGCATAAAATGCATTTCAATTAATAAAAAAACCCAGTCGACGATGGCGAATGATAATTAATGATAAATAAGCAAAATATTTCAAAGGTAAAAATAAATAAACTAGATAATAACGTATTAAATATATGTTATTAAATCAATTTTTTGTAAATTATTTATGTCATAAATATATTTTGCATTGCGATCTTTAAGAATAAATTAACAAAAACGTGTGTTATGTTACATTAAAATAATATCAACTATCATGAAAAGTAAATTTGTATGAAATATAATCGCACTAGAATTTAGTAAGTTAACTCAATTCACTATACTTATAGAAATACTGAATTTGAATACAATTATTAAATTTAATGATGTTCTACCTCTTTCTGAAGATGCCACCTCATTAGAACTGTTTCGATGTAATCTAAATGTCGCCAGGTACGGACGACGCGCCACATTCACAAATGCGGATTTGGCTTGTTCATTGTGCCATTATAACATTGAGGTTCTGGGTTCTAGTAAAGATTTTTAGGTTTATAAGGATCAGAATGTGCTTGTTTGTGGCTCCATCAGCTAATCGAAGAACAGTAACCTTAAATTATTTAAAAAAAGTAATATTCATAAATTACATTTAAAATACTGTAACTGCAAGTGGCAACATTATATTTTATTTTGCGACGCAATTTGTTGTTGCGCGTGGTCCATGTGTGGTACTTCGTCCGGATATTTAATACATATAATTATCTAATTATTTTTATGATGCAAAATAGGATAATTGTAACTTTGTTAACTCGCTTCTAAAATTTTTTAACCTGGTATTATGCATAAAACTCTACAATGTTTTGATTAACATATTTTATTGACTGCGTATTAATTTCGTAAAACGGATGCTGTTTTAGGGACAAAATACTCGTATTTACGTATCTGAATTGAAAACTCATTCTACGATCGTGTAATATCACAATCGAGAAATAGGATTCTTTGGATAATCAGAAATCTTCATTAATTTAAGTCGTTATTATTGGCAAAATTAAAGACGCTTTAAACCCGTTGTGTATATGCTTATTATTAAATAATACTATGTACCTACCTATATTATTAGCTTTAATTATATTGTGATTACGCAGATCCGCACATTCCGAACTTCAACGTAATTGAAGAAATGCTTACGAATTTTTTAATTCTGTTATCTATTTGAATGTACTTTGAAACGAAAATCTTAAGTTTCTGTGTAAAGTAAGCGTATAAATTGTCTCATCATTTAATGATACTGCGTTCGACTGTTTAATTTATATTCTGAATACTATAGTATAGTTTCTAGCTCATAGCACACTGTTGACTGGCGTCGACATATTTTCGTATCACATCATTTTTTTCAGGACTTTTCAGCAATCGTGGTCAGAGTCTAGAGGTGTTTATACCCGTTTAAAGTTTTTAATTTACAATTGGAGTGCTCGCGGACATCGAAGACAATATCAACCTACTCGGTTAACATTTAGTTGTTAACTTAATTCCATTAAGAGAATTTCGAAGTTAAACAAAACTAAACTGTTTCGTATAATTGTCCTAATAATCCTTAAGCTGGCCATAGACAGACCGCATGTTGCAGTCGAGACCGACTGCTGTAGAGCGGTCGTAGGTACACGACTGCAACTCGACCGCATAATGCACTCGACTACGACTGCTTGGATCAGTTGTATTCTACTACAAAATAATACTGATGCGAGTTCATTTACAAGATGGATTTTGTAACGGACGTGACGTCGCCAGTCACATCCTGCCAAGCCAAGCCAAGCCATGCCATGTTGACCACCCCTCCAACCAACCGCCATTCCTGCAAACCGCAAATGCCAGCCAGTTAGAGGGGATGAGTCTATATAAGCCAAAGCCAGCCATAATAAACCTATTTTTTGGAAGACGCAGCTAATAAAAAACAAGTGTGCTGTCACTCTGCCATTTTATTTTCTCTGTCAATTATAATAAATAAAAATAATACGTCAATTATACTCAGAAGTGGGATGAAACGACCTCGATCACAAGTTTTTCGACCTTCTGACGAATCAATGTCGGAGGAAGATGAGCATACTCCTTCACCGCCGGCACGGAAGCTGCTCAAGAATCTGCTAAAAAGAGAAGTAGTAAAGGTTCTACGCGATCTTCAAGATGACCGTCAAGCTCCAAATAAGTCACAAGTACATCTTGTATCTTTGATCCCGGAATTCGACCCTGACAGTGAGCAATATACGATAAGCTACGAGCGAAGAAGAGGTATAATCGCCTGGAGGACTACGATTATACGTGGGAGCAATGGAAAAAGCATTTTTAGCATCAAGATGGCTGACGTTAATCTTTTGATCGGTCAACCTATCAACAGCGAAGTCAACAAAGAGAAACTTCCACCTGGCTCTTCCATCATTCAAGTGCGCGTTCTGGAGAATAAGGTCGGCAACAATGTGGTAACGCCACCTCGGCACTACGAGGGTGGTGGTCTTCTCTTATCCCTCTACCCTGCTCAATGGCGAAGATGGTTACATCAAAGTCGTCAATACGGGGTGCGAGGTTATCGTGTGGTCGCCAGGAATGGTCCTAACCAGGGCTGAAAGCTGCCAGGAACCCCCGTTACAGCCGTATTGCCAGGATGGCCGAGTGTAACGGACGTGACGTCGCCAGTCACATCCTGCACTCACTCAATTCGTGAGGTAACCACCTTTCAAGTTTTATATTATGGCGCTTCTAAACGGGCCATCTTTTGCTGCAATTGATGGCTGCCACACTGTGGCCCGGCAACATTGCAAACAATAGCAGCCACACAATGCAATATTGCAGTAATGTCCCGGCCATATAGCCCAACATGCTATGTATAGCCACATATGGCCGATGTTGCCCCGATGGGTTTCCGGACGATCGCTAGGCTATCGAATTCAACTGCAATATTGCACAGCCAGTTCTATTGTTGTTTCAGTCACAATAGATTGTGTGTGTGTGTTTTCTACGCGACATGACGTTTGCTATGAGTGAAGTGTGCTTGTTGCTATATTCTGTGTTTTGCGATCAGCTGTATTTGACGTTAGATTACTACGTAAAAATGACTGCTTTTGACATTCTAGTTCTTGAATAATTTATTATCAAGACTTATTTCTAGACTCAAATTGTCTACAGTTTCACGCCTATTTAAGTAAGGTCTAATCCACAATCTCTTCTTTTTCTGTTTCTTTTTTAAAACAATATAAGCTGCTGCGACAAGTGTGATTTCGTCAGCCATTGTTGCCGGTTTGTCTAGCCCGTTTAGGAGTCTGCATCATGGGCCATACTATTGCAGACATATTGCAACACATTGCCCAGCCATAGATTGTTCGGCCATCAGCTGCATTAAAATATTTTTCCAATGGCCGGACAATTAGTTGCCAACAGTGCAGCCATCAATTGCAGCAAAACATGGCCCGTTTAGAAGCGCCATTACAGTTTTATCACTAACACCGCAGCCTGCAGCTAACTCAGACGTAGTTTACGATGGATCTGCTTCCACAATAGCCTTCAATTCTTCGTTATCAACTTTGTTCTCCGGCTGTCCACGGGGCTTGTTCTGTAGGTCGAAATTTCCATAACGAAAACGTTGAGAACAAAAACGCACCGTGTTTTCTATTGCGACACCGCCGCCATATACATCATTAATCCTTCGAGCCGTTTCTGCAGCACTGGTGCCACAGTGGAATTCGTAAATAATGCGATTTTCAATGATTTCCATTTTTAGTCACGCAAAGAAAAAAAAATTCAAACGGGAAAATAAAATGAATCATGGTTTTTGAAAAACAAATACATCGCGCTACAAAAATTGAATTTGGAATTCCTAACCAAAGAGGAGATATTTGAGGTCAACGTGGCCAGTACGACAAAACGCCAATTTAATATGATTTCAATTATATTTAAGGACCTAATGTGTTGCTAATTCCCTGACTATTTATTAACTTAATGGAAAACTATTTGTATGCGTAATAAACAATAAACGTCATAAGTCGTCCGTGTGCTATGCCCCTTATCTGTGAGCTGTATATTTTGTGTGAGCTTCCATGTTACAAAATTAAGACCTTTAATTAATGTTAAACTTTAGAAAAAATTTGTAGGAATATTACGTGATAAATAAATATTTATTAATATATATGTACCTACTTCAATGTGAATATATTTTTGTTATTTGTCGCAAATCCTATCAACTTGAAATAAGCATAAATTTCTTATCTATTTATACAGTTACTAGATGTTTGTAAGAAAGAATATTTTTGTGAAAATCATCTTGTCATTAAAGTATGTTTACAAGTATATGGCGTTTCTTTTCGAGTCTCAAACCTCACCACGTATCACCATCCACATTTCTTAATTCTCCAATTTCCATTCTCCCCGGGAGGGGTTAAAAAATTTAAAAAAAACATTAAGTGATTAATGGACAGCCCCTTAGAATATATATATTGCACATGTTTCTCAATGCGTGATGGTTCTTGATATCCATCAAAGGCTAACTTGATTTCGGGTATAGATTTCTGCCAAGATCTAGTAAGCGTAACAACATCCACAGTTTGTAAATTAATGATTTCTGATAGAGTGTCTGGTATGGTCATAAGTAAGGAATAAAAAAGAAAACAATTTTCATTTCTATTATTTATTTTCAGTTTGATTTTTTCATTAATAAGATTATATTACAATATAGTAATTATTGATAATAATTATTAAACCTACAAGTCGATTGTGTTATTTAAATATATAACAAAAAAAAACAACGGTGCTAGAGGTCGAGCGTACACGTCCGTCACAATGGCCCGCACCTTGTCGCACCTAGTACTTAATATTGCTACCTACCTGTCCGTGGTCTATACAATGGTAAAATATAAAAAAAATTAGTTACAATGTACATAATACGTGAACGCTAACTACAAGTTTGGTACTTCTATAATTAATTTGTCGCTCAGACAGTGATGTAGATCTAAATCTAAGACAGCAGTGGTGGGGAAGGGAATGGAGGTACGCATTTGCCTACGTGCGTTTTAAAATTACTTCGTGCACGTCTAAATGCACTCGCACGCGAAGCCGATAGCGAAAGCCTAACTACAAATACCGACCAACTATCGCGCAAGCCGACACCTCGCAAATCAATTCCGTCGTGCTTCTAACACCTCGGAGAGTACAATGATGGCCGTAAAATTCTCGAATCTACCAAAAATTACTGGACTCGATTTCGCTAACAATCATTCAAATGTTGACGTAAGGCACCACCACTGCACTCTGTAGGACTTTCCATAAGAGACAAGATGACCACAAAGTTAGGCTGATTATTGTCATTTATTGGTCAGTGGGGTTTGGGGCTACACAACATATGCACTGCGATAAACGCTTAAATACAACATGTACACAATATACCTCTTGTATAGAAATTAATACTAACAGACTCAAATAAGACATTATCACATCGTGTGATGCTTACAAATGTGATAAACATATTAACTAAATTTGGGTATTTATGACTAAAATCGGCGTTAAATTAAATAGTCGTCTATACATGACTGGTAAGCTTAGGTGTCTCTACACCTCTAGGAAATAGCACATAGTACTTTCATTGTACACAAACATACGCGCACCTTACTCTATCTAAAGTTAATTATTATATATTATTGTTCTTTATGTACAGACGCCGCCCGGGACCCGTAAGGCGAATTTCTAGTTATTTACAAAACGTGTCCGAAAAGACAAAACATACGCTCGGATACTCTTTTGTAGGACGATAAATGGCAGTAACACAGCACCTGTGCTCGATAAAAAATTGTCTAAAAACATAATAGGCCAAAGAAATCAGTCCGAGAATTGTACCTAAAGTAAACTAATGATATGAATTTAAAATTTTGACTATCTAGATAACGCGGGTCGCGGGCGCCTAACTTATAATGCCTTTTGTCAAACTTAAGCGTACAACATTCCAAAAAGATCGTGAGACCACTGGATGTATATTGTCAGTTTTGTATGTGGCAAGTTTTTAACCATCTTCCGACTCTATGTTTGACTATTTGTTCATTGTCATAACCCAATGTTAATTATGCCTAATAATAGCCCTTTGCGAATACCATCACATGAAAAATTGGCTAAACTATGGGGCTAAATACACGATTGAGAGAACTGTTAGAACAATGTCAAGAGCAGAAATTGTTGAAAGACATTTGTATTTAAAATTCAGTATCTGACATTTTGATGTTAGAATATATCATAGAGTATAGAAAATTCGGTACAAATGCTTGTATACAATTTGTTGCTCAACGACCGAGCAATTCCGGCTTCGTTGTTCTAGTGATTTATAGTTGGACGGTGCAATTTTGATCCGCGTGCAATATCGATGGTTCGCCATAATCCAAAATTATCATCAATTGACTATGTTATTTTTAAGCCTAGATCGACGAAGCCGATTTATAATTACTAAAAGCGTCATTTTCACGTCATCCATCACACTAATATACAAAGACGTAACAGTAAACAATCCTAATTAAAGTCGAAAAAAATACAAAACATCGTCAAAAGCGACCGATCCACAAAAAAAAATTTCTGTTAACTTAAGAAGCCCCCGAAATTTAAATACTGACGATTTTTGGAAGACAAATAAAATTTACAAAATTATGAAGGTAGTTTCAAAATCTCAAAAAAGAAGGGTAGGTACAATTATCTGAACTTTGGCACGCTATGGCAATGAGCACCTTGTGCTTCTAAAATTAAACATGCACTACATTTTAACGGTTATAAATCTGTGACAAGTTTTTATAATAAAGAAAGTTTAGTTACACAAACTCTAGACTTTTAGAGCTATCTATTTACGTGTGTACAATTATAGATCATCTTTCTTTTAAAATTAGAGCGTAGATGAGAATTATAACATATTATGACATACTACCGAGTTATTAAAATCGTTCAAAATAGTATTTAAACTACAAATAATGTTTTACTACCCTTCAATATTTGAGAAACGGGAGGGCTTATAACAAAAGCTTCTTATCCAATCAACTAAACTTACCTGCCGTAAGTGGTTAATTGGAACCGAAAATGTACCGTTGCACTTATAGTTATAGTTAATAATACCGTTATAACCCTGTATGGTTGTGTAGCAACGGAACGAAATGCGAAAGGAATTTGAGACAATTGACTCCCTTTGAATATTTAAAAACTTGAGCTGCGACTTCTACGATTAGTCTTTCAAGATTCCGAATAGTCTAGTTTAAGCTTAAAGTTTAACTTTCGCATTTATAGGTTATCCGGTGAGTTCCCAGTGTTAGGATTTGGGAATTCTGAAGCTAGAGGCAAGTATTATCTATCTAAAGGGTGTAACAGTCTCAGTTTACAGCGATCCGGCCGGGAAGCTGGCTGAAGAGTTGCTGTGCGCGAGGGAGAGCATGGAACCCGAAAGAGACTGCTCTTCTTCACCGTAACCTTCTCGGCTGCCTTCTGCTATTGCCATTGCACTGAGGAAGGGGGACATTTGTTATTTTTAGTGTACTTAGGTAAGATTAAATATCGAGACTTAGTCCTAAGTATGACTTCCGCACGTCAAAAACGTATTGAAATTTAACATTCGGTAGTGATGGTTCGTGTCTCCACATATATATATATATACGTATATACAAATACAGTAGAGCCTCGTTAAGTCGAACCTCGATAAGTCAAAAACCTCCAAATCTCGAAAAAATGTTTTGTTCCCTTCCCTTAAAACACCAAAACCTCCATTAGTTGAAATCTTGACCCTCTGTTAATAGAAATAATCACCGAGTCCCTCCAAGCCATTTTGGTACATATTTTCACTCTATAACTCGAAAAATTAAATTTGACCTCTGTATCTCGAACATAGGAACGTTTTATTTTACAACCTTTACAACTTGATCATTTGGAATTTATTATCTTTATTGTTCGAACAAAAATAAGTTACCGACTTTAAGAACTTGCCGACAATGTGAGTACACTATTGTTCCTTAGAAAACATTTTAGGAGTATACAATAATAAATTTATGACTCATGGAAACACGTGTTTGCTTGCTTTGTGTCAGGTGTTCAATTTTTTTTTAATTTATAAGAATAAACCTCAAACTCTTTATGTCGAATCAAAATCCGCCTAAGTCGAAATCCTCCATAAGTTGAAAACTCTATAACTCGAATTTTTTGGCATCTCCCTTGATGTTCGACTTATAGAGGTTCTACTGTACATATATAAACCGGAACCCTTTAATTTTTTGAAGTTACATATAGAAAATATATTATGACTATTTAGATACAATTTTACAATGAAAAATATTAGGCATCACAATAGTCTTCGTCCAAAAAATTCGCAATGTTAAAACTTTTATATGACCATTACTATCTGTTATTAGAGATTCTGTAATTTTAAAGAACATATATTTGCCTTTTTTGAATTTACCTGAAGCCAAGACGAGCGCTCTCGCTGTCAAACTGTTCAAGTTCCCTCTCGTGTCGCTCGTGCAACATGCGCGTGCGCTCACCGCGCTCTGCTAGGAACTGCGCACACTCAGACTCCATCTAGAATACATTTTAAATCATTAAATATTTAAAATACCGAATTCATTAAGTGATAAGTATTGACAGAGCCATTTTGTGTTATGGTTAAAATTATTGAGTTGATAATTCTAATTAATATGTAATGGCTTTTGACAACTGCAAATCTGCAACTAGTTTAAGCATACCACACTTAGATTTGACCTATAGCTAGCTTAAAAAAAAGTAACTTATCATTTAGACACAAACAATAAGATATTCATAAAGAGGGGGCATGTTAAATATACCTTTTGCTCCAACAAGGCGCGTCTCACGGCGACTCTCTCCTCGAGTTCCCGTCTCTCCCTGTTGCGCTGTGCTTCTGCCTGCATCTTGCTCTTACTCTGATAAGCACTCAACATGTCTAACTCATGCTCAAGCTGCATCTTGAGCTGCTGACACTCCATCTGACAATATAAAAATAACGTTTTTAAGTTAAACGGCTTAAAGGAGTTTGTTTTAAGTGATTAATTTTTTAAATTAACATCGAAAAATCTATGCGCGGTTTACCATGCCCGATTCGTAAGAAACGAAATTGTGTGGATTGTGCTAGAAGGAAAAAAACATATGTTTCATTTTTAATTTTCCAATATTTATCTTTACACTCATCAGGCTAATAAACATAATTAATGAGCTTGTGCGGTTTCTGGGTTAATGGGTTTTTTAATGTAACAAGAAGAAAACGGGCAGGAGGCTCACCCGATGTTAAGTGATACGGCCGTCCATGGACACTTACATTGCCAGAAGAATCGCAAGTGCGTTGCCGGCCTTTTAAGAGTTTGAACGCCTTTTTCGTGAAAAAACTTGAAGTCGAATTGGTTTGGAAATACTTCAGTCGTAGGGCGTGGATAAAACTGCCTTAAGAAACGCTCAGTTGTGTGGAACGACGGACGTCGAGGTGATACGGATTGTATTTTGTAATCTGCCTTGACGTCCGATAAATTATATTATTTTTACTATATTAATCACTCACATACTACACTATTAGTGCTATGAATTGAAATTATGGTTTTAAAATGCTAAACAGAGCGCCTACGTCTGGCTTTATTTTCGGGGCGTAACACCGGCGATTTACGTAATCGTCACACTTATAAAACTAAGATTACTTGCATGAGAAAAATGTACAGTCTCGGCTGGTACAGAGATTGTTAGATAAAATAATGGAGGCTGAGCAAATTACAAAGCTGTCTTATATTAAATTAAAACCCTACAAAAAATTGTTGAAGTCAACCACTTGCCAAGTCACACCCAAAACCTTTATTAACATGTACATATGTCGTAACGAAAGATCGGTTGAAAATCGTGAAAGTAATTCAATTTAATAAATAAAATCCTAACCATTTGGCTCTCATCGAGTCGCACCGTCTGCTTTTGCAGCATCTCACTAATACTCTGGTCGTATTGCTCCCCCAACAACACCAGCTTGCGTCGTTTCTCGTCTTTCAGGGATTTGATCACCTCTTTCTGTTGTTCCTGGAATGATAAAGTTACATTTAGAGTATGCCGGGTGAATTTTACGGTCCAAAAAAGATTAAACTACTATTATTTATTAATAAACATTATTGTACTTAAGTTGTTAATTTGCGTTTGTCTGACCATTATGGCACTAGAATTAATTATTATTTCTCTGATTTGCAACAATGTTACTTCACAGTTAAAAAATAAATACAATTTAATCATTGTAAATAGACAAGTTATATACTTTTAATTGGGATTCATATTTTAGTACATGTACTTAACTTAAATACTTTGGCAAAATTTAAAAAGAACGAATAATGAAATATTCTGTAAAATGTGGATGAGTTATTTAAAATGTAGTAAATATATGAACATACCTTTGGCGTCGTCTGTAATATCTGCGCCTTGAGAGCTTTGTACTGACGCGTCTGTATTTTGCACGTCTCTCGGAATTGCTTTCGGATCTGCATTTCTTTTTGCTGAAAATATAATAATTAGTGTAAACATTAATACTAGTTCAATTTTCTTTCAAGTTCTTCAGATTTCCTAGACGAGATAGCATGTTCGCGACATGGCCTTCTAATAATTTAACTTTACTGATTTCTTTCTACTTCCAACAAAATGCATATAGTTTTTTTTATAAATAAACGATAAAAAAAATATTCCTACCTTAAGACTCTTGGGTTGTTGTTTGAGCTGCAGCGCATGCTTCTTGCGAAGTTCATGTTCCGCTCGCTGCATGTAATCACGCTGGTTTGCAAGTTCCGTTGCGTGTTGGTTTGATAACTGTTCCTCTCTGTAATAGATACCTTTGTTTCACATGTATATTCATAAGTCACCAAATAGGGCACTAAGTTAAAGTAAATAACAAAACAACTTTTGCGGAAATTAATTAAACTATTAAAAATCCACGAGAACGTACAAAAATACGTTTTTTACAAAAGTAATTTAATTAAAAAACCTTATATTTTCTATTGCAAAAAAAATTGAGCAATATTTTGATGCAAACAAAAATCTGTTCTCTATTTGTTCAAAAAATATGAACCCATACAACACAACATGTAATTGAATTTGTTATGATATGCTCACCTCAAAGCATGAACACCCTTTTGTTGCCTATATTCCAACTCTTGCGTCTTCTCATGGTGACGTAGAAGCATTGCGTGCGCTTGCTCTAGCTGATGTTGGCGCTTATTTAGTTCCTACAAAATATAATAAATGTGATTTAAATTTATGTACACGACTACCACGGATATTTCTTTAAAAATCTAATTTGATAAATGTATAACTAACCTCTCTGAGCAGTTCCTGCTCCTTATGGTGCAGAGCCAGCATGCGCCTACGCTTGTACCGACGAAGCTCCAGCTCGAGGTACTCCCGCTGCGAGCGCACCATTCGGGCCTCGTCGGCAGCTTCTGCTTGCTTCATGTTATCCTTCTGCGATCTGTAATAATAAAGTAATTGAAGAAAAAAAACGTGTGTGTACTTATGTACACGCGTTAGAAGTTAGACTTCTTTGGCGTAATCATTTTCTTCGAGCACTTTAGAGGGACGTTTCCCTCTTCGAATTGCATTTTTCTTGTCCATTTTAATGGTCACTTCCAATCGAAACGATATATGTACTATTCATGATATTTTACAATAAACACTATGTTTTATCACATTGAGACGGGTTTTCTCGTATAGAAATAATTATTTTGGTTTAAATAAACACGACTCTGAAAATCTCTACGCCATGACAGACAATGCAACTTGTCGATAAAACAGAGCAAGCGCCAACTAGCGGCCCAGACTGTTCTACCTGTTGTCGGGTTTTTATGACGGTATGCGGGTGTCGGTTGTTTGTGACGGTGTGCGCGCGCATTGTAAAAATTTACTCTCATCATTTTTCCCTAACATGTCAAAAGAAGTATAACTTTAATAATGAAATCAACTTTAAATACTCTTAGGGTTCATCTACAAAAATACGTGGACCCGTATCTCAAAATTGTTCCGATGAAATTTTAAGTGTAAAATACGCTGATTGAAAAGATATAATAATATTATTACGGGTTATCTCGATGTGACTTTTAGTTTTTGAGAAATTTGTATTTGAAGTGATAGTTACTTTAAAATCAGGCAATATATATTTTTTTGAATTACCGAGAAAACTGATAAATTTTACTTGAAAGAATAGGTATTTAGAATTTAAGAATAATTATTTTCAATGAACGTGTATGTGCAATGCCCTATTCCTTACCCTACCTTTACAGATAGATGATACATCACACATTTATTATGAAAAACAGAATTGCCAATTCTTCTCTTTGAGAAATGAATGAATGATGTATGTTACATAATTCCCCACTCATTTCCGTAGTATGAAATACTCACTGTAAGGTCGCATCCCTCTGTCTCTTAGGCGTCGCGTCATCCATACTGAGTTCCTTTTTTCCACCTCTCCTTGTTGGCCTTGTACTCCTTCTTGCGTTGCGCTTCGAAGGCCTTCTTGTCTTGCTCCTGGCGCGCCGTGATGTCTTTTACCAATTTCTTCTCGGCAGCTGCGTTCTGTTTTTGCTTACGCTCCAGTTCTTGCACGTGTTTAGTCTAAAAAATTGAGATTGGTTGATATGATTATTGAAATCAACCAAATTATGAAATAACCAACATTTATAGAAAAAAGGTTGGCTCTAGATGGAAACGCTATAATGGATGTGACGCACAATATTCTGTTGTGTCGTTTTGTTTATAAGGCACCAAAAGCCATGAACGTGTAACAAACATTTACGGCAAATATCTGTATGATAATTTTTAGTATTAGCCCAACCAGGGAGGAGATGTAAGATTTTTAATACTTTTTTTTTCTATAGAACGGGGGGGCAAACGGGCAGGAGGCTCACCTGATGTTAAGTGATACCGCCGCCCATGGATACTCTCAATGCCAGAGGGCTCGCGAGTGCGTTGCCGGCCTTTTAATAATTGGTACGCTCTTTATAGCGTTTAATACTATTAACACTATGTCAAATGCATGGAGCTTCAGCTCTTTTTAAAAAATAACTGCATACTCGTTTACCCGACAATCGTAATTATACTCGTACATAAATACTTTAACTTCTTCTCCCATACCTGCAATCGTTCTAGATCTCTAGAGAGCTGTTGTAACAAGGCATCGTATTCCCGATCGAGTTGGGCCTTGTGAGCGTCTACGTCTGCCTTGCATCGCTCTTCGAGCTTCAAGAGAGCAGCTTGATGCTCACGACGCATGCGCTTGTAGCCTGACATTTGTTCATGCATCTCCTGTTAGAAACATATATTATTTAATTAATTTGGGAGCATAACTAAAATACGTACTGGGCTAAAAATATTTTTTATTGAATGACAAGCTTGGAATTCTTTCGATACGAATAAAATAGTAATTTATAATCTGTTAAAGAGAAACGGCGAAACTATTTCCTACTCGGCATTTTATTGATTTACAAAAAAATGGTCTTATATTAGTTTTTCATGTTAAGTTTCAAGATTACTGCTCAACTACTATGACGTAGCAGTGTTCTTAAGATAACAAAAAATCATAACACTTCTCAAATCTATAATTAAAATTATAAATTTTATACAAAATCGTTCCTAAAGCCTTGCTAAGCCATTGAAGTAGTTTTCAGTGTAAATAAATAAGAGCGACAAAACATTTAATAACTATTTCAAGGTATGCATGTTCAATGTTCATGTATAAGAGCCTTAGACCAGAATATAAAACATAGATAAAGTTGAAAATGTATGACATCATTATTCGTATTCGGTAATAATTCGTATTGGGTTAAACCCAAACCAGTTATTAAAAATGTGTATCAATGTTTTCTCTATTTCGAACCTCAGCCTAGGTTTTGTCTATGGTTTTCTATAAAATTAACTAATTATTACTTCTGTATGTAAAAATCCAGAACGTTTCTAACATAACACACTTCACTCTTCCATTATGAATAAAATTACCTGATTATGTTCCTTCTGTTGTTTGGTAACAATACTGGTAGTCCGTATGGTTGCAAAGTTATTTGCGCCGTGTTCCGATATCAACGATATTGCAGCAGACACGTTATTACTAACTCCTGAATAGAAAATAATTGTCTTATTCTCCAAGAATCAAGTTAAATATAAATTCACATAAACACAAATTTATTTACAGTCAATGTTTTTGGTACAAATATTTAGAATGGTAGGCGGTTCCGAAAGATACGAGCAATTTTTAATATGAAACAACGTATTTCATTGAATAAATTGATATTATTGGCATGAGGTAGATTTTATGCGTGTTATTATCGTATGTAATTTTTACATAATAGCCACATCCCGTATTTCAAATCCTGTCGGAACAGTTTAGCTACTTAAGGCCTTCAACTACATATAACATCCTCTCAATTTAAATGTCAAGTGAAAGTTGTTAGCTTAATCGATAATTATAAACATTGGTTTACACATAGGGCCTTATAAAATTAAATATTTAATTTTCAATCAAATCTTGCGTCTATTCGGGGATTCCTTAGGAGTTTGTTTTAATAACAAGTGTGTCCTCTCATCGTCCCCATTTCTGGAGATATAAATGGCAACCCCAAAGAGACACGCTAAAGCTAGTTGTCTTACCTATAGGCTGTGTTGGCATCCGAAACAAGAGAACTTCCACTTTCATCATGAGATATTGACTCTTACCTATGAAAATGATATATTCACCGCAAGGAAACTCACCCCTATGCGTCTGCCGCCGCTGCGTGTTGCGGTTATCATCTCCCGTGTCGTGCCACGTGGACGGCGCATTCACGTACTCCCGATACTCGTTCGCCTGCCTCTCCCTCTCCCTCTCGCGTTGGGCTTCCCTAATAGCCTCTCTATTCGCGTAGTCATCGCTATAACCCTCATCGCCGAGGGAATCGCGGTTAGCGTAGTCCCGAAGCACGTCCCGATTGACGTAGTCGTCGGCCGAATCGTCTCTGCGTACACACCAACATGAATTATACCATTTACGTGCGCGTTTGCGTGCGATTGTACGTGCTCTGTAAGGAAATACGTTACTAGTGCGAGAGGTGCGGTCGCAAGCGTCTGTAGACTGGTTGACATTTAAATGTACGACAAATAATAGTAATAAATGTAAGCTTACAATGCTTCGAACTTAAGACCCTAATTTCCTACGATAATTTCGTTAATTTATCTATTTTAAAATTTAATAAATACTATTTTTTTTAAATTATATTACATATTTTGTACAAACATTAAGAATATAATTGAAAAACTGTGATCTTTCTTGTGTTGCATTCGGTCTAGTATATTTGGTATGTTTGTCTTTAAACGATTTACGCGTAAGGTAAAAATTAAAAAATGTCAACTAGCCTATTAGAAGAAGAAGCTCTAATAAGAGATATACATCTAGAACTACCGTATAGAGAAATAAGAAAGCAAAAAGCTGTAATACAGAATGTAAAAATGAATTTTCCAGATAATAAATGTAATTTTAAAATACAAAATCCTCACAAAACTTTCATAAATTCTAATATTTTTAAGACGTTATTAACTTCATAAGAAAATATGGGGGGTAATGTTGTTCGCGTCCGTGAGAACTACCTAGCCACTACCTCACACGTGCCCCCTGGGTGGTGCCAAAAGAACAACAACGCCGAGTCTCGGGCGGCGGTCAAATATCCTGACCAAATGGGCCTAATCAGTTCATCCGAGTTGGAAGGAGGAAATGCCTTTTAACACCCGTTACCTTGTGGACTTGTACCACGAGGCCGGGGTCCTTGACTTCATTGTCCGGGACCAGAGGAAGAAAGCCTCAATAATAAATCACCCCTAATCTCAAGGTGTGGATCGCGCCGAAGGGATGAATGGCTGGGGGGCAGCTCAGCTACTAGCGCCAACCATGATGGACATGGCAAACATCATGAGTATCGCCTTCAGGTGAGAATGGGCGTCACCTCGCCTGCGACCTTTTAGATCGACCCTTCTCGTGGGAAAAATATGAGTGACCAATTAAATAAAATAAACAATAAATCTTCAACTTCTTCGGAAGAACAATCCACTGGTGTGGGAAACCAGGCTCCAGTGTTAGAGAATACCACTGGCCGAAAAGTACTTGTACAACAAGCATTCCATCCTAGCTTATTTCTGCAAAGACCTAGATCTGCATCAATTGGAAGCTGTCCAACACAATCAAGTGTCGAAGAAATGAAACCAACAGATGTACCCCTGGCACCTGCAGATTCACCACATCCTCCACCATGGCAGAAAGTGCCTAGTAATAGGAATAAAAAACGAAAGTTATCTACCAGCCCTCCTGTAGATACGACCAAAATATCAAATCGCTATGACGGTCTGCCCATTGATTTAACTGATGAAACAGATAAACCAATTAAAGAAAGCAAACCACCTCCAATCATTCTCTATGGAATTGAAGACCTAAAAGAACTAACTAATCTCTTAGAAACAGCAGTCAACAAAGATCAATTTACATACAAGATTATAAATAAAACTCAACTTAGGATTAGTACTGCAGATATTGATGCATACAAAATACTTATCTCCCTGGTTAGGGAAAAAGGCTTGATAGGGCACACTTTCAACAGAAAGGACAATAGATGTTTCCGGATTGTAATAAAAAACCTCCATCCGACGACACCAGTAGATATTATTAAAGAAGACATAGAGGCAACAGGAAACATAGTCACTGGAGAGATAATAAATGCAAGGTACGGGCCAAACAAGAATCCAACATCTACATTCTTTGTTAATCTAGTTAGTGGTCCCCACAATAAGGCTATTAAAGACCTAAAATATATCTACCACCAAAGCGTCACCATAGAAGAACCAAAAAAAAGAAAACACTAGTTCAATGCCAGAGATGCCAACAGTATGGTCATACCAAGAACTATTGTATGAGACCATACAGGTGTGTGAAATGTGGGCAATCACACAAGACATCAGAATGTCAAAAACGAGACCGGAGCACTCCAGCACTCTGTGCCTTGTGTAATGGACCACACCCAGCTAATTACAAGGGATGTGAGGTCTATAAAGAAATTCAAGCAAGAAAACAAAAAAATCCAATCAATATTCCTATACCAACTACTAAAACAGCATCTAAAACACCTAAAAAGACTGAACTGAATACTAGTACAGAACCCAAGAGACAGGAAAAGAGTTTAAGTTATGCTAAAGCCGTAGAACCAGACCAAATAAACAACACATTCCAGAACAATTATGATAATACTCACATCCCAGGACAAATAAACGCGACCCTAGAACAAATTATTATAAAACAGACAGAAAAGTTTGACATCATCCTACAACTAATGAGCACCCTAATGTGCCTCATAACCAAACTCGTCGACAAACTGACAAAATGACTACACTACGGATTGCGACCTGGAACATCAATGGTCTTGCCACCAACAACCATGAAGTTAACCTGTTCATGTCCCAACATAAGTTAGACATTCTCCTTATTTCCGAGGCTCACTGTAAGGCTAATTCTATAGTAAGATTTCAAGACTACCACTGCTACATTACAAACCACCCTGACGGTACCAGTCACGCGGGATCAGCCATTATTGTAAAAAAGTCAATCAAACATCATCAAATGCCTAATTATGAAACGGAGCCTATCCAAGCAACCACTATAACTGTTCATGACAAAACAGGAGACATCAATGTGACAGCAGTATACTGCCCACCTAAGCACAACATGACGGAGTCAATGTACTCCGATTTCTTTAAGACTCTGGGACACCGCTATATTGTAGGTGGAGATTGGAATGCCAAACATACTTCCTGGGGCTCAAGATTGACGAATACTAGAGGCAAACAGCTAAAACTGAGCATAACTAAAAACAACTCAAGCACCGTATCCACAGGTGAACCCACTAACTGGCCTACTGATGCCAAGAAGGTGCCTGATCTCATAGACTTCTTTATTACTAAAGGATTAACGAAGTTATACATGAAACCTGAGTCTTGTTATGACAGCTCTACAGATCACACTCCGGTGCTCCTGACCATTAGTACTAACCTAATAGAGGTAACAAGATCAATAAGGTTATGTAATAAACGCACAGACTGGAACACATTCCGTGAGCACATTGAGGAATCAATAAATATGAAAATGGCCCTTAAAACACCCGAAGATGTAGATGAAGCAGCTAAATACATAACGCTGTTAATACAGGAAGCATGCTGGATAAGTACTCCTGAAATTCAGACCCCCAACAATAGTGGAGTAAACAACTATCCCCTAGAAATAAAAAAGGCTGTCCTTGAGAAGAGACGACGTCGAAGAATTTGGCACTTAAGTAGGCTTACTGTGGACAAAACCAACTTTAACAGAGCTGCAGAAGATCTCAAGTCACTATTGCAAAATTGGCATGATAACTCATTCCAAGCAAAGCTAGAAAGCCTAACTGCTACAGAGTCTACAAACTACTCGCTCTGGAAAATAACCAAAAGTTTCGACAGACCACAAGCTGCTAAACCACCCTTAAAGTGTGCTGAAGGATGGGTGAGAAAACCACAGCAAAAAGCAGACCTATTTGCTAAACACCTGTCAAAAGTATTCTGCCCAAATGATTCCGTAGACGATAGGTTTGATGATCAAGTGGACACAACACTAAACCAAGACCTTCAAATGAATCTACCACCAAAACCTGTGTCAGTACGGGAAGTTTGGAGAGTTATAAGGGAACTAAAGGATAGAAAAGCACCGGGCTTCGACCTTATAACCAAAGAAATAATTACACAACTGCCCCGAAAAGCCGTAACGTACATTACCACACTATGTAATGGGATATTAAGAGTCCAACATTTCCCAGATATATGGAAAGTATCTCAAATAATAATGATATATAAAGACGGAAAACCACCAAACGAAGTCACATCTTATAGACCTATAAGTTTGCTTCCGATACTATCAAAAGTTTTCGAAAAACTACTTCTTCGACGTATTCTTCCGATCTTATCTGAAAAAGGCACCATACCCAGCCATCAGTTCGGCTTCAGACAGCAACACTCTACGGTGGAACAGGTTCATAGAGTCTGCGACAAGATAAGAAAGACACTGGAAGAAAAAGAATACTGTGCTGCAGTGTTCCTGGATATACAACAGGCCTTTGATAGAGTCTGGCACAAGGGCCTGCTATGTAAAATAAAAAGTTATCTTCCACACTGCTACTTTTTGATATTTCATTCATATCTCTCGGGAAGATTATTCCAGGTCAAAGAAGGAGAAACAACATCATATTTCTTTGAAATAAAAGCTGGCGTACCACAGGGGTCAGTGTTGGGTCCGGTACTCTACACTATATTCACAGCTGACCTGCCTTGTTCAAGTACCATAACTACAGCCACGTTCGCAGACGATACCGCTATCCTGGCAAGTCACAAGGACCCAGTAATAGCCTCAAAAATCCTACAGAAAGGCCTAGATGATACAACTAAATGGCTTCAAAACTGGCGGATCAAAACTAGTACATCGAAATCGGTACAGGTTACCTACACCCTATGCAAAGGCAATTGACACCTCAGTGAAGGTAGGAAATACCACCCTTCCTCACCGGAATTGTGTCAGATACCTTGGTCTTCATCTTGATAGGCGTATGACATGGAATGATCACATCAAAAAGAAGCGAGATGAACTGAATATTAGATATAAAAGCTACCTGTGGTTGCTAGGCCGAAACAGCAAACTGTCTGTAGACAATAAACTACTAGTGTACAAGTCGATCCTGAAACCTGTATGGATGTACGGCCTTCAACTATGGGGTAGTGCTTGTAACTCCTCCATCATGAGCATACAAAGAATGCAGAACATTATTCTCCGGACCATCAGTAATGTCCCCTGGTATGTGACTAATGCTGAGATCCACGAACACCTGGGAATGCTCACAGTGAGAGAAGAAATAACAAATATCAAGACCAGATACAGGGAACGGCTAGCAACCCACCCCAATGCCCTTGCACGACAGCTCACGATGCAGAGCTATGTTAAACGCCTTAAGCGAAAAAACATTCTATAATGTGAAGAATTATGAGTAGATGTTCTCACTGGAGGACACACTCCGAACGAGATAACCATCCAACATATTTGCTAAAAGTGAAAGCACTGATTGCAGATGGCGAATATACAAAAAAAAAAAAAAAAAAATAAGAAAATATATTTAACTGGTTTTTGTTACATACTGTATAGTGGCATGCTCTTTCAAGAATAAAAAGGTACCTCGATTGATGACATGGTTGGTGATTATATTGCTGATACACAGGCTGTTGTTGATTCTGATGATTCGCATTCATCTAAAAAATATTAATATGTTAAAATATTATTAAATTTATTTATAAAGCAAATTCTAAATAAACAATAAGTGTTCTGTTAGACATTCTGTCTGTCATAATTTTTGATATAAATAGAGGCTTGTGCTAATAAATATTTAAGACTTCCACTCTATTAAGTGTTATTTGAAGTACTTACAGCATGAGGTCTTCTCCTAAGACTACCGGAGGATGAGCTCTGGCTGGAGGCTCCTGCCGCACTATGTTCCGATGTAGCAGAGTTTGACTTAGAACTATCACCACCCGATGGCTCCTCGGGCGCTTCTTCACTGTCTCCTGATAATTTTCAATATTAATTTACAAAATGGGAAAAAGCTTTGTTAAGTTAAATATACAGGTACAATGTGCTAAGTTTTGCTAGACATACAATAAGTCTCTTAACTAAGATTCATCCTAACTGAATTACATTGTACATAGACAAACATTTATATACATTGTTTAAAGACATAAAAATATGTCTTAAAATTAAAGTTAAACTAAACTTCCCAAATACATATAAGGTAAAATCTGTGTTTGGGTATTAACAAGTGTGTGGGATGAAGACATACAATCAACATAATCATAATAAAGATTATATTTTTCTTCCACTAACTCGAGAATATTTTAGAGCAGATAGGACTTCATCAAACTCACCTATTGCACTTTCATTATCTCCATCAACCATGAGAATCTTCTTCATCTTGCGGTAGTTCAGGTTATCTAAATCCCTTACAGCGGCTTTTGTCCTTTGTATCAAGTCAACCAGGACAGTTGGTGAACGTGGCCTCGTAATATAAGGATGCGAAAGAAGCCTGGTGGAAGATGGCCTGTCTTGGGCATTCTTTTGAAGACACGCCTCGACGAAGTAGCGGAATGTGTCCGTCCATTCCGGTGCCTGGAAAAGGGAAAAGTTTACTTAAAAAATATAGTATTTATTCGCTCACAACAAGACACTGGTACAATCATAGTATCAATGCGTTTGTAATACCTACGGAACGGAACTTTGTAAGTATAAGGACAAGTAGCGACATATTTTGTATTTTGCATATTATATTGGATGAGATGTTACCAGCACAAGTATTTTTTTATTTCAAAAAATGTATTCTATCTTACATTTTATCTACAGAAAATTAACTTAAAAGTAAATATGTGTATTTTAAAAGTACTCACATTATCATTATTTTTTTCTAACCAAAACTTTTCACTACTTTTTATTTCTTTGAATATTCCTCCAATATTCATAACACTAGTCTAAATTTTATATAAATTAATTCATGTTTGCAATGACTACAAATTAAATGAAAACAAAAATAATCTGGCGTGTCAGGTCGACATAGTTTATTAATTGTAAATTCAACTTACATAATAATTATAATAAATAATGTTACCACTGATACCACTTTAGAAGATATGATCGTATATGAGGTCAAAAAGATTAAATATTGTCTACTCACCGACAGAGCTGGGGAGTCATTCTGCGCAATGTGATAAAGTGCTGACATGGCATTCATGTTAAAATATGGCGGTTTTCTCTCCGCCAACTCGATACATGTTATACCAAGTGACCATACATCCACCTTGAAAAATGCAAAACATTTTATCTTTCCACAAAACTGTACTTCATCCATGAATTGGAAAATGTATAAAATAACTAGACATTAATTATATTGTACTACACGCCGTAACGGATCTTAACTTAAGATCTCTGATTCACTGATCATTTTTCCTTAAGGCAGATAGATCACCCTTTTGTGTCTTACATCAACCAATTATAATTCTGCGTAAGGGTTATATTGAGAGTGGAGATTGACCGCTACATATTAATATAATATAAATGACATCAAACTCACTTTTCCATCATACTGCCCCTCATCCATGGCTAAAATAACTTCTGGGGCCATCCAATAGGGCGTGCCTACAAAACTATTGGCCGGGCATTTAATGCTGGCGCTTCCAAAGTCAGCGAGCTTTACAGTTCCATTCTCCGTAAGAAGAATATTTCCCGCTTTGATGTCGCGATGTATTCGACCGAGGCTGTGTAGGTAAGATAAACCACATACTACCCCCTCACATATTGCAGCTATTTCTTCTTCGCGTAGTGGTCGCTTGTGCACCTGTAACAAAAAACTTTTGTGAAGCGTCTAGTAGACAGATTATATAATTGTAAGGTAGCTTTTGCAATTACAACTAATATTGTACATTAGGAAAATAAGTTTTAAGTTGAATTTTTTGTCTACGTGTGAGCATTAGACCTGATATTAGAAAAAAATGGAGCATAGTTTGTGGCTGACTAGTTTAAAATAAGTTACTAAACATAACAAGAATATTAATAAATAAACGTATCAAAAAAATAATAAAATTATATTGATTATGAGATACTAAATTTTGCGTTGAAATTAAGTATCTACTATTCGTAAATCTCACAGTCCTTGAACTGTCGCTATTAAGAGAACATTATCTCAGTGATATTCTTCGTACCAAAGAAAATGCTAGCACTAAGCTTCATTAATCACAATTTTATAAGCACTAGAAAATCAAAATTATTTAAAATAGTAGTGATCGCTTATTCGGGAGAAGCCGGTCCGCTGGTTTTTTGTTTAAATTCTGTATGTATTGTGAAAATTGAAGTCTTTTACTTTACGTCTGTCAAAGGCTTTCTATAACAAATTAGCTTGTGTTAGTAGCCGTGTGGTCTGTATATATTAAGGAATTTCATTTACTTTTTTCTATAATCAAAACTTTTTCAACAATTGTGTGACTATTCCGCAGACGATATATAGTTGATATGACAGATATAAGTCCTAAGGTTTAAGGTTTAAGTGGACGTTGGTAAGAGAAAGAAAAGATGTCAGAGAAAAATTGGTAAACAAAAGGTGACATAACAAATATCTCAATAATGTTGCCTTGAGACATTATTAAACCTAATGAAAATGGATCGTAAACACTTGTGGCCAATTCTGTATTGGGGAACACATTTTTCCTTTAAATGATATTTATATATTTTATTAATTATTATAATAAATGTTACCTTACACAATTTCAATTAAAAACACTAAATTAAAAGAATACCCTTTATATAAAAACAGTTTTTATTCTATTGAAACTTGTTATTCACAATGAAATCAATGTAATCTTGTGATAACTACACTACATTTAGAGTTAAGTGTGTGAAACTCTTTTATAGAGTTAATAAATACTGGCACATGCTTACAGTATCTCAAAATTAAGAGTAAAAATATTAAACTTAAATGTACCACATTATAGCTAGGGATTTGCTCGTATTTCGTATTGATAGGAATTTTACTTGGGACCAATTGAACAAAATTTTCTTACTGAATTAAGGTCGTACCTTGCTGCGTTTTTAAGCTACAGGGGTTTAAATAAAAAAATCTATACTAAATCATTGTCTCGTGTCTGCCTCTGGGGTAAATGGTCAATACCATGTAGATAACGCAGAAAATGTATAAGGGAGACAAATTATTAAAAATCCAGGTCTCGGTATTTTCACAGTAGGTAGATTTAAACGTGTAAAAAAAGCTCTATTAAATCATTTGCTCGTAGCTGAAATTGGGTCCATTCTATTAATTAGAACCCCAAGATACCAAAATAATCGGCAGACATTTTACTTACTGACTTTAACCATTACTGCCTTGCGATTCTGTAACTCACTTTTCGAACTCACACAGCGGTTTTCACAGCGGCGGTCGCGCTCAAATCAATAAAGCAGTCATTTTAAGATTTGGCATTCTGATAAACAATAAACTACAAACTCCCTACTTATCAGCTGTGAAAACCGCTGAGTTCGAAAAGTGAGTTACAGAATCGCAAGGCAGTACGTTGTAGTCCGCGATTCTGAGGAAAAGCGGGTATGTGTGTGTGTATACATTATTTATTTCGATTAATATTTTGTAAACCTTATTAATTTAATATTTAGCCCAAGCTTCGATTAAAAAAAATGTAATAATCAGATTCCGGAATATTAGTGGCCTGGGTGTCTGCCTCATTTATGTTTTTTTTTTATAAGCAAGATAAGTAGTCAAAGAGGAGACACGAGCAAATGATATAGCAAACTTTACTTTTTTATTGACACTTTTGAAGTGCTCTTAATAGAAAACGCAGCGCTACGATGTTGGCAGACTCTTTTTCTGCGGTTCTTCACGGGGTTTTTAAACGAACACGGCAGGTCTGACAAGCGTGCATTTCACATAAACTTTTGAAAATGATAAAAAAATCTTTAAAAATGTATAACTTGAAAAGTCAGTCCTAGATGTCTGCCTTTTTTATTTTCATTTTGACAAGGTTTCTAAACATCAGCCTTAGAGGCAGACACAAGCAAATGATATGGTATACCTGTTTTTAACATTTTTAAGGTGCTATCCACCGCACAGAACCTCTACCATGGTGGCGGTTGTTTTCCTTAATATTCCTTATCGTTTAATTATCGCTATTAAAAAAGTCTGCCACATGAGCAAATCATAGATCAGCTCCCTAGCTATTATAGAACTCGTCACTGAGCTGTATCACATAATCATATTTCATTAGTAGAAACAATAAACAAACTGTAAATCTATATAATAAGGAGTACACGAGCCTTGACTGTTTCCATATTATCTCAAAGACGTATTTTTGAAGGAAATAATGTTTAATATTAAGATCTCCTAAAACGCACACACACACACACACACGCGCACTTACTCACAACTCAACAAGTAAATTATTAGTAAGTACATTGAATTTGTTAGTAATAAGGTATATGTACTTATATGGCGTTATCAGTCTTGGCTATATTTTTTATTTAGAAAAATTTAAATATTATCTTTAAAAAAACAGCTGTGGATTATCAATATACTTTGCTTACTTAAAATTTACGAGTCGAAAGTGATTGAACAACCAGCCAGACCGAAAGTGAATTTGAAACTAAAGAGTGTTTGCAAAGTAAGCAAATCTCCGTTTATTTTGTAAAAAAGGCAGTTTACCACTTTTGTACCATGACTCAAATCTAAGGCTATACGTATTAACGATGAAAAGACATTAGTGATTATAATGGGTCAGAAAAGGTCATAGAAATATAGAAGAATTTCCCGATGATATTAGAAAAAGAAAATTGTCTCAGAATGGCACACAATAACGAAAGCACGCGGACATGTAAACTTTTTCATACAAATCAATAAAAGCTACAAAAACTTTAACAATAGTCACATTTTCTCATACATGTTCTCTATGCATATCTTGTTTTGCATAAGTGATGGCGACATTTATGATAGTTTGACGCCCGAACCCAATAACCTATCTCAATCCATAATCCACCAACTGAGATAGTAATCTTAATCCAAATGTTGTACCAAATGTGCCATTAACCAATCGGCGGATTGTAATAGCTATCTGTCGATGCAAGCTATCCGTGGTAGGTCGTATCGGATAAAAGCATTTTATCCGTCGCCAAAAATGGATTGTCTTCGTAGGGTTTTGTTATTGGGATGCAGATAGGAGATCGATCGACTGTCACGGTCTGATTGAAAACAATCTGAGATTGTGGTTTGATTATTGGGTTCGGGCGTTACACAATTGCCTTCAGCTAATAACAGTGTTAAAACATGTAACATTTACTTAATTTAACATTAAACTCCGCAAAACTCTTAGTTAAAGAAATTAGTCGACATTGGTTGGTTTGCTTTGTTATCCATACAATAAAAATGTTTCCTTCCATATAAAGACAACTCTCTATTAAGTAAGTAAATTCGCAGTCCCGTCAACAACTTATATAGAGTTAACACTCTATTGTCTTTATTTACGCAAGTATCACACATTGAAACAAAATACACTTCACAAGCTTAGAGTATCTCAATGAGTATATCATTGATGATTGCTGTAAAGCAAACTCAAGATCAAGACTTCATGTATTAAATACAGAAAAAAAATTGTGTTAATTAAAGTTAGTAGTATATTTGTCGAAGTTATTTTCGAAACATTACTTTGACGTTAATATTTTGCCGAATTTCCGTTAGAAGCCTAGCAAAGCAGTATAAAAGCCTAAAATAAGCACATTTGAAGAATACTTAGGTATACATGAATAAATGAAAATAATATACAGTTAAAATCAATAAAACCTACCTCAATAATGTCAGAAGCTGAGCCAACACAGTACTCCATCACTAGCCATGCTGTATGCTCCCTCTTGTAACAGCCCTTGTATTCAATTGTATTAGGATGATCCAATTGCTTAAGAAATCTAAAAAATATTATTTTATTGTCAACTGGTACAATATTTAAAACAATCACTAGAAAAATATTAAAGATATTAGTATTCATATTGTATTATGTAAGGCAAAAAACTGGAATAATCAGAATCAAAATAAAACTCAGTAGTACTGAGATTTAGGGAAATAATAATGTAACATTCACATTTGAAAGTTCCTAGAACAAGCCTATTTTATTCTCAGTATTAAGTAAATGTTTGTGCAAAAAAAATTTGTTAATACTATTATTAAAACATACTTAATCTCTTTAAGAATATCTTGCCATTTTTCTTCACTTTGTTTTCCCAAATATGACATCTTTTTAATGGCAACAATCTCTTTAGTGAGATTGCAGCGAGCATAGTACACTGCACCAAAGGATCCATGGCCAATTTCTCGTAGATCTTCAAAGATCTTCTCAGGATCATGTCTACTGAATAATTCTGCTATATCAGGGTCTTTGAGACTGCCTGGTCGAGGCATTTTTATCTGCAAGACAGATGTTTAAGATATACAGTATAAAAAAGTAGAGTAGAGTCACTCTTAAATGGAGTCAGAAACATATCAGTGTCAGTCACTGTCAAGTTAAACTGAGGTAATAATAATAATAATACAGTTGTGCTACAACCCTAGTATTAGCATGCATTAGATTACATCCATTTCTTTGAACATTTTTGTTTGTGTAGATGATGAGCCTTCTGTCTGACATGTCATTAATTTTCTATTTAGAGACATATCCGTTTCCTCAAATTGTTTTGCTTCACCATATGAGCAAGTGTTAGATGTGCACATAAAAAGTCCATTTGTGCATAGCTAGATATTGAACCCACTACTTCTGAGATGAGAGTGGCACGCTGAAGCCATTAGGCCAACACTGCTTTTTCTTTTCTTTTCAACCAGAAGTACTAAACCCATTTTTTTTTAATATATATTTTTTCCCTTCCTAACAACAATGTCAAAGTTTTCTTCAGATAGGTTTTTCTATCAATATAAATTTAATTCAAAATACAGTTACAATCAGTAATCAATATCACAGAAAGAAATATAAACCTTACACCAGTGGGAATCGCGAAAACACTATTATCTCTTATCTCAGACTTGATAACATAATTTTCATATTTTTCTCATTATTACGGAAAGAAAAGAATTTCAGATGTAACTTACAGATTGCGGCAGCTGTGAGCCGGCAGTGTCCGTCAGTTAATTAGAACGCTTTTGCCGCCTAGGGCCATCCTCGGCAACCGCTATCTGCAAGTCGGAAATTATTCCGATAACACATCGCCATGTTTTCCTTCCACTAAATCGACATTCAAAACTTGTGGGCCATTCTAATTTACATATGTCACATAGAACAATTCCCTAATGAACCGTTTAAACTAAAACTAATCCAATTAATAAAATTCGATGATAATTTTAACATATCTCAGGACATGTAGGTTCGGTACGACTTGTCACCAAGAAGTTGTTCTGGGTCGCCGCCCACCTATTTTCTTCGTTCATTAATCAATTTATATTTCACAAAACACTCCTTTTGCTGCCGAAATTTAAAAGATTGCGAAATACCTGGCACTTACAATACAAAAATTCGCCTCAAAATGGCGTTGGGTACTATAGAACGCGACGATTGCTTTTTGTTTCACAGGCACGCACTGTATATTCAATCATCACTTTTTTACACAATCGATAGTCACATCATCTTGTCTATAACTATAATATTTAAAAGTTAGCTTTCTTTGAATTTTTATTATAAATCTATTTACAACTTCCAGTAAAGACACACTGAAAATTAAAAAATAATTATTGCAGTGACTTTTGCTGATTGCTTTTTGTTTTTTTTTTAATACGGCCTCACTTTCAGTGTTGCCCACAGACCAAGTAAAAACTTCAGTAAATTTAAAAAGTAACGTAGTGTTGCCAGTTGCCAATACCTCGGTTTATTGTTTTCGCTTCAATGAGCGAATAAGAAGAAAGCGTGTTACTGCCTATTGTCTACTCTAACTTCATCCACTTTTCCCCAGATCAACGGTGTATCTATGAGTACTACACAAGGTGCTAACGTAGTAAAATTTTAAATATTTTTCAATTTCAATTTGGATTACAAAAGAACGGACCACATGTTGCCCTAGTACCTGCATATTATGAGTAATCTTAACTTTTGGGCACGCAAAAGCTGGAAGTAACTTGACGCCTGTTTTTTTTTTTATGGCTCTGGCACGATTTGTGCATTAGCCATTTACATTAGCCAGCGTCAAGTATAGGATTTTTTATAATTCGTGCTTGTCTTTAGAAATTCGACCTTGTCCTCCATGTACGGTTTAGGCACTCGCCCGGTACCGCACAACCCTCCCAAAGGCCGAGAACAAATTTAAATTAAATTAAAGTTTGCCCTCGAACCGGGAATCGAACCCGGTACCCCTCACCTAGCTGCCACTTAATAAGACCGCTAGGCTATGAGGCCTTGACGCCTGTTAATAGTGATACCAGTACTAATAAACTCTTTATAGTTCTTACAAAAATATCTCTTCTTAATATGGAACAATTACTATACTTGGCTTGCACCTATCAAAATTTGGATTTTCTGACACTTGGACTGTTATGATACTATTTAGAGTTAGTTGCGTTAGTTGCTATTGTTATATCAAACCATGTTTATAATAGCTGGGGAGCCCATGAGGGGATTTCGGGATTTACTCCAGCGTGGCAGATTAATACACAGGGAGATACCTTGTTAAGTATCTCTACCAAATATGAGCTCCATATATATGGCCGCCCGTCAAGGATAAAGGATCAGATTAGTAAAAAAAGTTAATGATCAGACTTTCTCGAGCGCATCAGGTTAAGGTAGGCTAAGTTACATGCTAAGAAGTGTATATTTCACTAATCTGAACTACGTAACGTAAAGAAAGGAGAGGGCTGCAAAGTTGTAAAAAAAACGTCATCTCGACATTCTCGAGCGTGGCTGAATTATTTTTTATTTTGAAGGAAATAATTTAAGAATGACAAAAAATATGTTATAATCTGACGATCCAATTTCCGAAGTCAGAAAAATTCGTCGTGTGACGCCTATATTAGTTTAAAAATATTAACTATGACTAATATTAACATAACATAAAGTGTGTATTTTGTGGTGAAAATACTTTGCAAAAATCAATAAAATTTACATTATAAACATTAGAAAAATGTATAAATATTTTAGAATATCGTCGAAGTTAACCGGTTCTTCCGGTTATTTTTTATTCTTTTTAAGCATTTTTTTTTAAAATTACTATGTAATAAATACAAGTACTTGAAAAACATACACTTTTGTTATTTTCAGAGCTTATCAATCAATTAAGTTCAATTATTTAAATTAATATTTTTTTTTAGTTATCAGATCAGGCGAATCCCTCCATGTAATCATCAGATTATGAGACATCACGTCTAGGACATAAAGCTGAACCCTATATATCTTAATCTGACGCGCTTGAGTATGTCAAAATGGCGTTTTTTTGCACATTCTAATAACGACCGCAAGTTTGTATCTACAAATTGTCAGATTATAAGATGAGAGCTTTTTGTAGGTTCACTTAGAAAATCTGATGCGCTTGATATTTTTTTTTCATTTTCAACCCTTACGTACGACTACCCCCACCACGCAAACAATCAGAATAACAAACGTACATTATCAACAATATGTAGGACATGGATGCTATCAATATCTGACGCGCTCGAGTATGTCCATGGCACAGTTTTTTTTTACATTTTTGAAAGTCGCTCTATCGTCGAATAGCCCCTCCCCCCACCGATGAAAAGGTAACATTATATAACATTTTTTCTTATAATTATCTTAAGCTTCGCAACCTCTATGACCTCAATAGGTCTCTATGACGCTTGAGTAAATCCCCATTTAGCATCGTGGGCTCCCCTACTATAAGTCTGTTGTATGTAAATCTGATGTAAATCAGTTGTGCATCTCAATTATGATCCTATACTGTACTGGCCAGGACAAAATTAATACTTGACTTATCACGACCTTCACTCAATAGCTATGAAGTTTATGAGTATCGTGGGATCATTTGTTCCTTGTGAGCGCCTTTTTTCGATTGCCGTCAACATTGCAAGTGATGAACGGAACCACTAGGATCCTAACAGACTGGAAAAACTGTTATTTAAAAAAAACAGAAATTTGTTAGACAACCCATATGCAATATATTTATTGACTCTAATTTACTCATTTACTACTAATTATCAAGATTGTTCGGGCCCTGCATCCGATTGCACTCCCAAATAAGTACGCCTAGTTGAGATATAAAATGTATCCTCTTTCATGCAACATCTCAACCATCTAGGAACAGAAATACTCACTTAAAATAAGATATGAGATGAGTCTAGCATATTTTTGCACAGTATATAATAAAAACATAGCATCCAGCAGATCGGTACGACAATGAAGTGGCTTAAAGCTGTGTACGATGCCTTTTTAAAGTTTATCTTTCAAAGTCAAGTGACAAATAAAGCGCTTTTGCATGTCCTCCACCCTTTTTCTGTGGACTTAATAGTGGGGGTTCCACGCGACACTACAGTATTCCAGAGTACTTCGCACAAGAGTATTATATACAGCAATCATAGTGCTGGATTTTATGAAAGCATTGCAGTTGCCTAATAAGGTAAACTTGTCGATATGTAGTGTAGTTTAGTTTACCGTCTAAGGTAACCCCCAGGTCACGAATATGATTAACGTCGCTTAGAGCGTTGCCGTCGATGTAGTATGTCCTTGGACGTGTGTGCTTTTTCCTAGCAAAGTGTATATAACGTAGCACTTGTCTATGTTAGGGGTGAAAAAAGGCAAAAAAATACTTAAGTAAAATATAAATCCGGGCTAATTTACTCAATACTTTCCCTTCACTGGCATGTTGGCTTGTAAGCTTATTAACTAGCCAGCTGCGTTTTGGCAGTGAACAAAAACGGAACGTCAACTGTACAGTAGAAGTTCGCGCGGGAGTGTTATTTTAGCTTATGCTACCAAATAAATACAACAAAAACTAAATAAAAAATTGAAGGAGAAAGATAATGATTAGATTATGGACTAGCATACTAAACTTGTATTGATTTAAGTGATTATATACTCTGTGAATCTGTAATATGTAATCTGTGGAGTGTGGTGTAAACTGAAGCCTGATTCTGCCTGAAAAGTAAAAACAGAAGCGGAACTTCGATATAAATGTAAATTGTAAGCCGGCTTGAAGAAGTGTAAATAGTTTGATATTTAAAAAGCAACCGTGAAGTGTTCGTATATTTATCTCTATTAAGTATTACTTATAACATTGTTATACTCCTTGTTTACAAAATTTCGAATCTAATTGCTTTAAAACAACTACAATTGGTTGCTAAATAATTGTGTTTCCTTAGTCCTTACTATAACCAAAATGGCGGGGAAACCTAACACGAGGTGTTTTTGTTGCCAAAGTATTTACAAACAATAAACGAAATAATTAATTATAGTTATTAGTTAATTGCCTATTACAACCTCATAAAATGTGATGGTTTGAAGTTAAAGATATCACATAGGTTGTAGTGATTCACATAGACCTAGACAAAACAAAAAAATAACAATCAACTTTTGGTCTGTCTCATATAATATTACTTTTAGATGGCTGATAAGAAAGACGGTGTTGAGCCAGAAGAAGAGTTTTCTGTAGAAAAAGTCTTGGACAGACGTATAAGGAATGGCAAGGTAAAGCTGAAAAGTTCATGATAGTTAGTTCCTTTGATTTCATTTGATGTTCCTCGGGCCTTAGTCAAACAGTTCGTGTCGACAAATTTTCATGCAAATTTAGTTTTCGACTTTCTACATACACTAATGTTAAGACATCTTAACTAAGCCCCCTGAATTCGCGTGAATTTTTGTTTTAAAGTTGTAACCAAATAAAAGTAGAAGTTAGATTTTTATATTATATTTAGTAGTATCTGCGTGCCTTCTAGGTAAAATTATCAAGGAAACATAAATTGTAACTATTGGTACAAGAAATTCTTTTTAGACATTAACTCTAAGAGTTTTTGATTGTAACTTTTTTCAGGTTGAATACTTTTTAAAATGGAAGGGTTACAGTGATGCTGATAACACATGGGAGCCTGAAGAAAATTTGGACTGCCCGGATTTAATTCAGACTTTTGAAGAAGCAAGAAAGAAAAAAGAAGCAGGTAAACACACTATATCATTTTGGTTTAGAAATGATTCCATTGTACATTTCCAATTTCAATTTGTAAATTCATAATTTTATTTTTTTTGCAGAAGGAAAAGGTGCAATGAAAATTGACAAAGATACTAAGAAGAGGAAATCTGCTGCTACACCCGACTTAAAAGGAGCTAAAAAGAGTAAGAGTGATGACAAAAAACCATCTGGTTTTGATCGAGGTCTAGAACCGGAAAAGATTATTGGTAAGATTTGCTTTTTAAAATATAATCAGAGACAAATTTAAAATACAAAAAGAACTCTTGAAACAACTTTATTTCTTCTTGAAAATCACTGAGTTATATGCTGACAATATGGTAATTGTTCATGTGTAATGAGATAAACCTGGTTGTCATTTGTGTTTTATTATGTTTTTTTATAACTGGTATTATAAACAGAATCCATTTATGACTACGCCTATATTGACCAACTCATTAGTACGACATATTTACTACGAAGTTTGTTTTTTTTTTACAATTAAATGAAAGAACAAAAATTTCAGATTACTTACATTAAAAAATATGCTTTTATGTGTATTATGTACTTATTACATGCAATTTTTATTTAATATGTATATGATTTAATATGTATGTTTACATATGTAGTTACTGTGTTTCTCTATTAAAATACTGAAGTACATACATATTGGTAAAAAAGGTTTTTTTTTCACAAAAAGCTTTGTATGATGTCTGCTTATTCCTATCAATGTCATTATAAACGGATTAAACTGTAATTATTATTCATAATTAATTGGTTGCATATATCCATTAATTAAACATTTAAATTTAAGATCCTGAACTTATTTATTTTTATGCAAAGAATTTTGTATGGTTCAGTTAGGTTATGAAAATATTATGGTATAATCTGTAACAATAAAATAAAAATACAAATAAAATTAAATCTATGTATTATCACTTTTTGCTTGTGTAAACTTTTCTTCTTTTAAATGGAGTACTTGTTAAATTTCAGGAGCTACTGACAGTAGTGGGGAGTTGATGTTTCTTATGAAGTGGCAAGGCACCGATGAAGCAGACCTTGTACCAGCTAAGCAAGCTAATGTTCGATGCCCACAAGTTGTGATTCAGTTCTATGAAGAAAGGCTAACATGGCACACTCCAGCACCAGATGAAGGCAATAATGATGAATAGGTAAAAAAGAATCTTATATGAATACTATTGCGTAGTTTAAAGTAGGTGAGCAACTAAGAATATCATAACGTATAGATAACCTGATCTAATAACTACAATCAATGGCGCTAGAACCTTTTTTAGGTCTGGGTCTCAGATTTCTGTATCTGTTTCATGATCATTTGTTAATCTAATAGGCCAGCAGCTGATCAGCCTCCTGACGAGTAAGGTTTCCTCACGATGTTTTCCTTCACCGTTCGAGCGAATGTTAATATCTAATAACTCCTACGAATTTCTTAGAAAGTTCGTATGCATGATGCCGAGTCGAGTTTATAGCTGGCAAGGACAATAAAGTGACAAAAGAACGTAGCTGCGCAGTTTTTACTAATTTTAGCAACTTAAAAAGTACTTTATTACTCATTTGTCGTTATTGAGAGAGGGTGAATTGCTATGTAGAGTGTATCATTGTATGGAAGACAAGCAAATCCAACCAACGCCAGTAGATTTCGACGCTTTAAGGAGTTCGTCGTTAAATCGAGGGACGTTACATGGGATTTATACTGTATATAATTAATCTATAGGCTGTTTAATCGCCATATTATATAAAGCATTTTTTCCGAATATAATAAGGTTTTCTGTGATGAAACTATACTAAGTAAACTCACACACAAATCCTCGACAAAAACCTAAAATTTTGAATTAACTTGACTTTGGATAGTTTGCTATGCTCACAATGTAACATTTCTTTTCGTATGACATAATGTATAATTCCAGAAAAATGTACAGTCCCTTAAACATCCGTATATTTTGTTTCAGATTTCGACATAAAAGAGGATGTTTAAATTTGAAAAAAGATTTTTTTAAGTTGAACTTAGGTTTAAGTTCTCTGTGGCAAAAATATTTTTATATCACTGATTTTTGTATTGTTTACTTAACAACTTGTTTAATTTAGAGTATTTTACTAGTGTAGAATACAAGGTAGGCGAAGTGTGTTATCACAGTAGTTGATAAAAAAATTATCTGTACCTTGTGATAATAAAAGTTGCCTATCCTCATTTACACATTTATTCCTTGAATTCGATATGAATAATTATTAAATTAGTCAAACTTAACAGACCTGCCTGTTATTTTTTGGTGGCTCGGTATCCATGTTAGATTTAGGTGTATAGTAAAAATAAAATTGTGGAAGTTTTAAATATTTTACCCTATATTTGTCATACATTATCAATTTAACGGTAATTGCTGGCTAAGCATATTGTTTAAGAAATAGTTTTAAGCATAACTGTCATATTTCAGAATGGTTCTCAACTGGCAATGGCGTTTAGAAGTCTGATAAAGAACTAGCTTCATAGACAATACAATGTATAAGTTGTGACCTAATCGTATTATTGATAATTTCTTTAAATGTTTGGCCATATCAAGATATAAATATCTTGAATGAAAAATTTGAAATGAGTTTGATAATCTAACTTTGCCAATATTCTATTACTTAAGTTGCATATTTCAATTAAAATAAAAACACCTTCGCCTACTAATCTGCCATAAATTTCTGATTATTTACGATTGGGCCATGACATAGACAGATCTTGCTACTAGATTAAATTTGATTTACATTTTGGAATGTAGATCATAGATTTAAGCTAGACTTTAAAATAAAGGATGCAAAACATACAACAATAATTATTTTATTTATTACAAACATTATTAAATATTACCAAACATTTAAATATCTCAAAAAAGGTATAAATTAAGATTAGTGTAACATTTTTGTTTTAAAAATTAACTTGCACATTCTTATCATATTTCTGCTTTATTCTATCACATATCATAGACTCTGTAATGCTTTTAAGTTGAATGTTGCGGCAATGGTAGTAATGTATTTGTACTTCAGGTGAAGAATGACTAGAAATAGTTCCAAGCAAATCTTTAATAATCTGTTTATCTTCATCTGATTCATCTGAATGGTAACATATCAACTTAATAACCACCAGATACAAAGGAATAAACTTTTCACAATTTAATAAATGTTTAAGAAATTCTAAAATCATGCTTTTTGTTAGGTATTGTGTAAGAATAGTATGTAGCACTCTTTCAAATAAAACATACACATGTGTGAAATACTTGTTACAGTGGTCTTTAAGATGATCACTGATTGCTTGGGCCATTCCTGGCAACATTCTAAAACAAGTTTTATCCCAATCATCTCCATCTTTTTTGCAAGATTCAAAAATAATTAAAAAAGTATAGTTAAGTTGTAACATTGTCAATGTTAAGTAATAATAGCAAGTAGTATCTATAAATTTTTGAAACTCATTTTTTATAATTTCAAATGCTTCTGTAGGAACAATTGTATTTTTTTCAGATATAAATTGTCTAGTATCCTTTGAAAATGTGTTCATAAACTCATGAAAGCAAAGCCTTACAAAGTACATTGATTCATCTATTATCTCCTTATTTTCTACATCTGTGTTAATGTCATTCCAATGCTTAAAACATTTCTGTAGAAATGGTATTAAAACTGATTGGCATTTCTCACTTATTGATTCTTTTGTATATGAACAGAGTATGAAAGCAGAAAGTAATTCTATTTTAGAACTGTTGTCAAACTTATCAACTTTGTTGGGAAGCTCATCTATATATTCTAACAATATACTTTTTAAAAATTCTGGAGGTAATTGATTGCAATTTTCACGGGCGTAGATAATTAAATTCTTGAAGGAATACTTCATATCTGCATAATAGTCCTTCTTAGATGTCATGTGACTCTTAAGAAACATATAAGCTTTACAAAAAAATTGTGATTGTACAGAGCGAGGCAGATTTTCGACTTGAAACAATAAATCATAAATTGCGTTATTTTCTTCATGTGTTAAATCATTCAAAAAATTATCCATAATAGGCCATAAATGCTGAATTCTAGCTGGGTTGTTTTGTTTACACAACACTTTAAAAGTTAATGTAAAAGCTACATGCCTAATTGTCAAATTTTTATTCTCTTTAAGAACTTCTGTTAGTATTCTTTTGACTTCCATTGGTAAAAGCTTCATGAATGCTAAACGGATTCCATGCTTTTGTAGAGTGACTTTTCTATTTAAAAGCATAATAGGAATAAACTTTTGAGATTGTGACCAATTCAAATTATAAAAAATAGAATAAAGGGCAGGTAAAGTATGGGGAACATAATCACCTTTTGCATAATCCAAGACTATTTCTGGTCCAGGTTGCGGACGAGCTACATGCATATTCATAGCCAAATTCTGTTGTATGTTTAAATTCCCTTCATCAATAGTGGCCCAATTTATGACATCTTGTTGTGGTATGTATTGAATGAGAAGTTGTATTAGACTGTCTCTTGGCATGCATATACATAAAGCACGAATCACTGCCTTATTAGCGGTACCACTTTTGAGTTGCTGTTCATAAGTATGTACTAATTGTTTTGATATCGATTCTGGCCAAAATATTTTCAGTTTTTTGTGGTATTGGTCTAAGGGGGCACCCTTTCTGTATACTTTATTTTCAATCTGTGTATAGCCTTCTAATAAAGTTGGATCATGCTTCAATATATTCAATAGTACTGATTGGCTTGGGTGCATTTTTAAAGAAACAGCAAATAAATCTTTACGCCAAGACTTGTTTTTATTGTATATTTTGTAAAAGTCTATATCCCATGAGTTTTCTTCATTGACCTTATAGTACGGGAGGTAGCAACGTTTTCGAGAAAGAATTCCAGGTCAGCTGATTTTGTGATATGTCTTCCTTCTTGCACTTCCGGTTAGAGTCTGGGCAGTCTGGCTGGCGGTAGCGGTTGCGTTCATTAGTGCGCATCCTATCTGTCCAGGTAATAATCCTGGATTTTAAAAGCATTTTAAGAAGCGTAATTTTTGATTTTTCCTTTTTAAATACGTCTACCTGACATACTTTTTTTATTGCCAGACATTTTTCACGTTGCTAACTATGTGCCAGACGCGATTTTAAGTTTTATTTTTATAAAAATTTCAAAGCATTTTAGAATGTCTGTAATTTTAATATTATGTTATTTAAATATAAGAAAAACTGAAAATGAATTTGCCAGACATTAATTCGATTGTTAAGTCTTGAATTAAAATGATAAAGTATTGCAGTATGATGAAGCATTGCATTTTAAGAAGCGTAATTTTTGATTTTTCCTTTTTAAATACGTCTACCTGACATACTTTTTTATTGCCAGACATTTTTCACGTTGCTAACTATGTGCCAGACGCGATTTTAAGTTTTATTTTTATAAAAATTTCAAAGCATTTTAGAATGTCTGTAATTTTAATATTATGTTATTTAAATATAAGAAAAACTGAAAATGAATTTGCCAGACATTAATTCGATTGTTAAGTCTTGAATTAAAATGATAAAGTATTGCAGTATGATGAAGCATTGCATTTTAAGAAGCGTAATTTTTGATTTTTCCTTTTTAAATACGTCTACCTGACATACTTTTTTTATTGCCAGACATTTTTCACGTTGCTAACTATGTGCCAGACGCGATTTTAAGTTTTATTTTTATAAAAATTTCAAAGCATTTTAGAATGTCTGTAATTTTAATATTATGTTATTTAAATATAAGAAAAACTGAAAATGAATTTGCCAGACATTAATTCGATTGTTAAGTCTTGAATTAAAACTATTGAAGAATCATTATCGTGTGAAGAACACGAAGAAGCTGATTCTAGGATAATTTTTCATATTTGCCAAATCGATTTTGACGCAGAAGTGGTTATACGCTGTTCTGATTCTGATATTTTAATTATACTTCTGGGAAATATGGATCACCTGAAAAAATCTTTGAAAATTTGGATAAATATGGGTGTTGGAAATCATCAGCGTTACATAAACATCAATGAATTGTACCGAATTCTTGGTGACTCTTTATGCAAAGCTTTACCATGCTTCCACGCAATCACCGGATGTGATTACACGCCAGCTTTTTTTAGAAAAGGCAAAGTTAAGCCTTTTAAAATATTAGAAAATTCTGAGGAATACCAGTTAGCTTTTGATAATATAATTTCGGATGATAAAGAAGTACTTGAAACTACGTTTGTAACCCTGGAGAAATTTATTTGTCAAATGTATGGAGTTAAAAATTGTTCGATTGTTAATGATGTTCGATTTCATTTATTTTCAAGTACGTTTAAGTCAAAAAAATCAGATGAGAACTTTGACAAAAAATTTCGAAACTTTGACTCATCCAGTTTGCCACCCTGTAAAGTGGAATTGGAACAGCATTTATTGAGGGTTCGTTACGTGACGAAAATTTGGAGAAATGCTCACTCAAAACATCCAACATCTTTATCTCCAATGGCTTTTGGGTGGACCATTAACGGTGACAAATATGATTTTGTTTGGTTTTTGGGAGATCAATTACCATCCTCAGTTGCAGATATTATTGTTCAAAGTAAGTGTTAAATGGAACATTTATCAATAATAACTAAAATGGTTAATAACGAACAAGAAAAATTACACTGTTTATTTTTTTTCTGTTGCAGATGATTTAGAAGATAACGAAAGTTCCCAAGAAGATGATATGAATGACACCGACAAAGACAGCGACGATGATGATGATGATTATGAAGATGCCTCTTTTTTGTGACGTCACTATAGGCTAAAACAACTTGTAAAACTCAATATTAATTATTCATAACTTACATTTAGTAATTAGGACAATTTAAATAAAGTGTTGATTATTAATTTTAATCAAATTTTATATTTCTTTTTATGCTCGTACTACATTATACTGCAATACTTTTCATGACTTTTACATTTTAATTCAAGGCTTAACAATCGATTAATGTCTGGCAAATTCATTTTCAGTTTTTCTTATATTTAAATAACATAATATTAAAATTACAGACATTCTAAAATGCTTTGAAATTTTTATAAAAATAAAACTTAAAATCGCGTCTGGCACATAGTTAGCAACGTGAAAAATGTCTGGCAATAAAAAAAGTATGTCAGGTAGACGTATTTAAAAAGGAAAAATCAAAAATTACGCTTCTTAAAATGCAATGCTTCATCATACTGCAATACTTTATCATTTTAATTCAAGACTTAACAATCGAATTAATGTCTGGCAAATTCATTTTCAGTTTTTCTTATATTTAAATAACATAATATTAAAATTACAGACATTCTAAAATGCTTTGAAATTTTTATAAAAATAAAACTTAAAATCGCGTCTGGCACATAGTTAGCAACGTGAAAAATGTCTGGCAATAAAAAAGTATGTCAGGTAGACGTATTTAAAAAGGAAAAATCAAAAATTACGCTTCTTAAAATGCAATGCTTCATCATACTGCAATACTTTATCATTTTAATTCAAGACTTAACAATCGAATTAATGTCTGGCAAATTCATTTTCAGTTTTTCTTATATTTAAATAACATAATATTAAAATTACAGACATTCTAAATTGCTTTGAAATTTTTATAAAAATAAAACTTAAAATCGCGTCTGGCACATAGTTAGCAACGTGAAAAATGTCTGGCAATAAAAAAAGTATGTCAGGTAGACGTATTTAAAAAGGAAAAATCAAAAATTACGCTTCTTAAAATGCTTTTAAAATCCAGGATTATTACCTGGACAGATAGGATGCGCACTAATGAACGCAACCGCTACCGCCAGCCAGACTGCCCAGACTCTAACCGGAAGTGCAAGAAGGAAGACATATCACAAAATCAGCTGACCTAAAATTCTTTCTTTTCAAACGTTGCTACCTCCCGTACTATTAACAAAATCTGTAATCATGTTAAGTATGACAGGATAATCACGAAGTTCTTTATTCCAGTCATTCAGCAAATCTAAAGCACTATCAAGTAATTCAACTTTGTTTAAATATTCTTTTTTATTAAGTTCCACATGGCTATTGATCTTTTTGGTAATCAAATTTAAAAGAACTTCAAATAATTTTTCTCTACTTTCTTCAGGTATTTTGTTCTGATATTTCTTTAAGGAATTAAATTTAAATCTCTTATGAATAATTTCAGATATTTTTCCAGAGAATATTAATTCATTTATTATTATTAACTCCATACACAACTGAACAAAATTTTCATCATAGATTGTATCATCAGTTTCATAAAAAATGTCACCCATAAAAGTATTTTTGATTTTCTCCCATGTGTTTTTATTTAAATTTGCAGAGTTTTTAAATATATTAACAATAAAAGATTTTTTTATGCGTGCATCACCATTATTATAGTGCTTGCAAAAATATTCAACCAATTCAGTAAGGTATTTTTCACAATTGGCAGCGACAATGATTAATGTTTCTACAATTGAGTTTATCTCTTCAACTGACATATCATTCGAAATTATTTTTATAATTTGTGGATAAGCAAAATCAAATGAAGTGAAACGGTACCAATAATGGTCATAAATAAAATGCCATTTACATGTACTCATAAAAGTATATAAATTATTCATAGAAATTCTAAGTGGTTTTGGTAAAGGACATTTATTTTCTATTAAATGTATTTTGTCCAAAAATACTTGCTTTACAGTTTCCAAACGGTCAGCTTCCGGCATGGCTGTGAGAAAGTTTACTAACATTTCAAACTTGATAAATCTTCTCTCTTTAGATTTTTTACTCTCAAAAAGCTTATACAGATAATGTTTAACATCTTCTTTCTTTAAATGATTCAAAAATGTTTTTATATCTATAACTGAATAATAAAATTCAATGTTATTCATAATTCTTGATGCGTCTTGCTTCAATATATATTTTGTGCAATTGCTATTAAATTTTAAGTTATACTCTGAATGCTCAACAAGGTCAAGATATTTTTTTAAGTCAATTTTTAGAAGAAAAGTTGTTGCTTGCAATGCTTCTTGTTTTTTATATAATACAATATTACAGTCCAAATAAATTTCTAGAGGTGCTATTGTTTTCTCACATAGACGCTTTAGCAGAGGGATATCCACATGATCTATATGTTTCTTAAAATTTGTTACTATAAAATCTGGAGAGCAGTGTGGCAACCACTCAAGTGCTTCTTTTTCATTTTCTTCATATGCATAAAACTGTTCTACTCTTTGGCAATCCTTAAGGATGAGTTTTATATATTTCTTTAACTTTGTAACAGCCTTGCTAGTCATTTTAGGGTATAACACTTTATGAAGATATTCAGGATTAATGATGTTTTCATAACCACTGTCACTTATCAACCAGGGACATTGCTTGAGAGCTCTCGAAACATAAAGCATATCTTCACATTGTAATACAATTAATATATAGTTTATATTTCTATTTTTACTGGCCAAATCAATTTTGACTATATTTATAATGTCACTGGCAGAAATGTCTATGTCTTCAAAAGAGACATATTCTTGTTCAATGGATTTTGACAATAAGTTTAAATACTTATGTCTAGCTCCAAGATGATGTCCTTGTAGTTCTGATGCCATCTTTTAATCTTAAATAAAGTATAATAATATGTTAAAATGCATATATAGGTATATTTCATTAAAGAGAATTTAAATTTCAAGTTATACCAAGATAACACAAACTATGGTGTGATTAATAATGCACTAAATTTTAATTAATAATAAATGTTATCCTTGCAGTTATGAAAAAAGTTTTTAAATTCCACATTACCCAAAGAAGTTTTCTATTAGGACTAATATTTTCTCTATTCTATATTGTAATTATAATGGTATACTCAATACTGGAGTCACCAATCAGTATGTAGATACTGATTAGCTAGCAGTAGCTAGTGTACATTCGATTAGGCAATAAGCGGTAGCAGTTAAAGATTCCAATAAGTACCTTTTGTAATCGCAATATTTACTTATTATTAATTGAATCACAGCCTGCAGTTTGTATATATATATATGTATACTATAGGTATCTACGGTAGGAACATCACAATTGCACAAAGCACTAAGAAGATACGTAGATCTAATATAGTCAGTAGTCTACGAATAAGAATAATGATATAATCGTTGAACGAATACGTAAAATCTATTTTTATTATGGTAGCAGTAAAGTCGAAACAGGTTAACAATACTTACTGTAGATTGTTTTAAGAAATTCTCTAGTATTATAGAATATAGGGTATTAAATGCATAGTAGATACTATGTAGTACACAGACTACACACTACAGTACACAGTACACACCTGACACAACAGTGTCATCAGTCAAAACTTAATACGACATCTATCAGTAATTTAACGATTCCACGGATCTTGAGGGATCCACATGGACCCTTGGATTTACTTCAAAATTGATTCATGAAGAGCATCTTCAAATATCGGATTCGGATCGAACCAAACAAACGTTATATTAATAGATATAAGATATTTTTACATTCAGTATCTAAATTAAGTACGTCTACTTGTTTCGGTTGTTTCCTACAATTTGTTATGTGTTATACCTTTCGTAGTCATACATTGGATTTTTTTATAGAACGGGGCAAACGGGCAGGAAGTTCACCTGATGTTAAGTGATACCGTCGCCCATGGACACTCTCAATGCCAGAGGGCTCGCAAGTACGTTGACGGCCTTTTAAGAATTGGTACGCTCTTTTCTTGAAGGGCCCTAAGTCGAATTGGTTCGGAAATACTTCAGTGGGCAGTTCCACAAAGTGGTGGTGCGCGGCAAAAACTTCCTTGAAAAACGCTCAGTGTGGAACGGCGGATGTCGAGGTGATATAGAGGATAGTCACATTAGTCAGTCAGGACATGTACTATCGTTTCTTCAGCTGCTGTATTCGTATTGTTGTAAGGATAAGCTGCATTTTGTAATCTGTCAAGATACGTTGAGCATTCCCCGTGACCTGTCAACATCTATGTTATCGGTCCCATTGGTTTAATTTCTTTTACTATTGAATAGGCCGCATATCTACACTTGGAAGGAATTATTTATACTTATAGCTATTTATATTAATTTCATATACATATATACAGATATGTACATCGCTTTTTACATTTCTCATTATATTATATTCATTTATAATAATTTTTGATAAGCAACAAAATCAAAGGGAAAACAAAAATATCTATATTGCGTTATAGCATAAATTGAAACATTTCACGCTACAATAGGTTTATGGTTTTCTAAAATTACATAGGAGTAATAGAAATCTAACTATAATGGATACCTATAATATTTGTAGAGTTGTACCTAATGCTTATTTAGCAATTTTAAGTTTGTTACTTAAATAACAAAATAATGAATACATATAACAACATTGATGTATATTTACATACCGTAGGTGCCGACGACTTTTATTAGGTACTTTTACTTCGCGACGGTATTATAGGTAATAAAATATATACAAGAACCTAGCAAAAATGTGGCTAAAACAGTCATATATAACAAATATTAGTAATCGTAACATGTTTTTATTAATGCAGGTATCTACTACTATATTTTTAAATATGTTATCAAAATTTGCTATAGGTACGAAAATCAATTGCCACTGTGATTTTAAAATGAAAATATTTCTACAATAGTTTCACCATGCGGTGGTACACCCTTTTTAATTTTTCCTCAAAAGATTGGATCAGAAATTTGAAGCTATTTCGTTATAGGCCCCCAATCAATACGAGTAATATAACTGACTTACTAAATACCTACTTAGAGATCTTGTGAGAACCAAGGATTGGACCTGGTAGGTGCGGTTATAAAGGTCAGAATATCGGTCAATCACAAAAGGTCGGAAGAGATCGTATCTATAACTCCTCGAGGAGGAAGTCAATGGTATTATCATTCTTTATTCAAAATTGTTTGAATCTATTATAATGATGTTTTGGATTGATTTAATAATTAGAACATTTAATTAATGCTTATTAACGAATTTTGTTTTTTTTTAACGACAAACCCGCCTAAAGCGTCGAAATCACTCGGCTTTGGTTGGTTTAGCTTGTCTTCCATACAATTATACACTCGATATAAACTTTATTTTTTTAATACAGATTTTTCTTAACATTTAACGGCTCTTTGTAACGTCAAAATAGGCACAGTCCCTTGAGTGTCGTTATAATATCTCTACACTGTATTTCGTTCCGAATAACGTTTTTGAAGACCTTGTTGAATGAAAATAATCGGGGAGAAAAGAGATACGAAGTCCGAGCACAATATGAACGTCGTAACTCATAAATACACCAGTAAAATTTTGTAAATATAGATATTAATCACACCATGATCACCGTTTGCGTGGTTCATTTGTTACACCCAAATTTAGTGAACCACTAAATTATTTGGGTGCATTAAATAGAAATTCGATTGGTTGATTCGAGAACGATCTATATTCATCGAAATATGCTTGCAGAGGACTTTAGTTTTCATACCAAATAAACATACCTATAAACGCGAATATAAGTTTTATTTATATGTGTATACTAGCGAATACATTACTACTAGCTATTTTCGTGGCTTGGTCTACAGAATGAAGATAATGTAAAATTAAAAAAAATATTGACCTCTGAGCGCCATCAAAGTACCTGTTGCCAACATAAATGGGTGTTCTGAATGTTAGGTCAAACGTATGTTCAAAAATTAAAATCCGTTTAGGAGTAACGATTCCACAGACATACAGATACGCAGATACGTCAAATAACTCTTTTTTTTTTATGGCGCTGGCACGATTTGTGCATTAGCCAGCGTCAAGTATAGGATTTTTTATAATTCGTGCTTGTCTTTAGAAATTCGACCGTGTCCTCCATGTACGGTTTAGGCACTCGCCCGGTACAGCACAACCCTCCCAAAGGCCGAGAACAAATTTAAATGAAATTAAAACTTGCCCTCGAACCGGGAATCGAACCCGGTACCCCTCACCTAGCTGCCACTTAATAAGACCGCTAGGCTATGAGGCCCCCCAAATCACTCTTATCGTCGGGGATTAAAAATAGACAAATATTAGTCAAGTCACTATTTTTGACAGTATACACAGTTCATAATATTCAGGTAAGTAATCTGTGCAAACAATTTATAAAATTACCACGGAAACATTTGTTGTATTATAAATTTCATTTGTATGATTGATGCGAATTTATATAAACTGTTCATAAACGCGCTCGGAACAAATTGTTTCTATATTGCATTATCAAGTTAATTTTGTTGACACAAATATTGTTAGGGATATATTAGCCATCCAACTGATATTCTTATTGACTTAAAGTAAAGCTCACTTTTAAAACAAAGGAATTAATATTATTTTTGTTATCCTATATATTTTCTAACATATACATTACCTTAAATAGAAAATAAGTTTGTGTGGTGGGAACACAAACTGGATACAGTTTTTCTGTCCACCAGGACGTCGAGAATATTTAAATACCTAACTTACTTACATATTAAGGCCAATATACACTATAAGATTTATGGCTCATTCTGAATGTACCCCTTTCTTTGCATATGTACGATTTATTATTATTATTACTTATTCTATTATAACAAATACATTTTATACCCCAATTAAATACAGTTTTTCTGAATTATTTATAACTATTTTAAGCCTATCCCAGTATGGTCCAATCCTACTATTCCTGGTTACCGAATCAAAATTCTAGGATACCTAAATGTATAAATATTCACTAATGCTAAATTTTCCTTTCGATTCAGTCCGTCTAAATATACATAGAATACGACTGATGTATTTTTAAATTAAGTAAAAACAACGTGCACATCATGCCATGGATCCGTAGAATTAATATTACAGTAATAACGTCTCAAATGTTTGAGAAGGCGAACCACACCCATTCACCGCGTTCTTGCACTAATATCTCCGATATTGTGGCCGAAACGAGGTTACAAGGGGCTATTTTGTAATTTATTGTGGGGTAACACGCACTTATTGTTAGCAACAAGTGGGCATGGTGCACATTTTGTATTGCCGAACTATGGAATATGTAGTGCAGTAAAAACCATACAAAGGTTTTATCAAATATATCTTTGTAATGGTAGGTGGCAAACTGTAACAAGTAGTAGGTAGGTTACTTAGAATTAAGTGCTTACCGCCTTACCATGGAACTTGGAAGTCCGTTGCCGGACTTCGATCTACTAATGTATTTTGTTTGTGGAAGTATCACACATAAAATAAGTGCAGGATTGCGATTCTGTAACTCACTTTTCGAACTCACACAGCGGTTTTCACAGCGGCGGTCGCGCTCACATCAGTCGTAAGGCAGTCATTTTACGATTTGGCATTCTGATAAACAATGAACTACAAGGAGTTGTAAGGCAGCTGTATTGATTGATATATGAATTTTAATAAGACACAAATCATTTTCTGAAACACGAAATAGATAGACATAAGAAATAAAAAAAAAACTTTATTGCAATAAAAGCGATGTAGAAAATGCACTAGCCCACACGCTAGGAATCCCTTTGTCAAGGACACCTAATCTCTTCCATTTGACATACTTAATATGAGTTACGTAGAAATTTAGGAATTGAAAGAC